GTGACTGTCCCTATTAGTAACCAATGAACGATTTGAACTCAACACCTCTTAAATAATACACTCAAAAATATTTATTGAACCACTTAATCACCCAAAGGTAGTTAATAAAACTCTATTACACATAAAAATTCATTTAAAAAGAAGAAAAAATTTCTTATACAACGATCTTCAATAATTTTAATTTGAAAATGTGAGGTTTTATTTGAAAGACAAGTTTTGCCATAAAATGAGGTGACTTAACCTAATTGTTCTTAATGAAAAACTTCTAACTCTAACACAATTTATTAAGTCTAGTATAGTCTATCTTCTATATATTATAAATATATCTTTTGTTGTTTTATTACGGATACAGTTTGTAAGACATTAGATTTTATAACTAAAATTATCCTTTAAATAAAACCTTAACATTTTGAGAAATTAAAATTATGGAGTTGATTAATAATTGTTATTTAGGAAAGAGCCATACCTTGTGAAAAATTTGGTCATGTCCTGTTATGAAAGTGAAAAATGACCAATAACTTGCTATTGAGTTACGCATAAAGGGCTTAATTAAAATTGAAGACAGATGAATATATAAACAATCAAGTAATCAATTAAGTGAAGTGTGATTCAAAGAATTTTGTGAAGTTTATAGCTTATAGAATTAGTAAATCAAAATTTTCTCAAAGGTTATGATGTCAAAATCAACCAACTCTAACTCTTTATTCTTATTATATTAATAAAAAAAGCTTAGCGTTTCATGGACGACTATCCCAAAAGTGGCGAAATTTTGAGGTTCAACATCAGAAATTTAATGAAGGTTTGGTGTTAGGCAAAATAAAAGATGCTTAATATTGACATTGGGAACTCTTGCCAACTTCCTTAAGCAATAAGTTCTTTTAGTAGTTACAAGTACACCTTCTGTTAGATAATTCTAATTATTTCAGAATATTAATGGTGTTAGGCAAAATAAACTATTCATCTTAGTAATTATCATTTATATTTTGCATTGATAATTAGGTAATATTATTAAGAGTAAACGACTTTTTCCCACCCAAGTTTTGCCTTAATGACACTTTTTCACCCAAAAAGTTTCAAAATACTACTTTTCCACTCAAAGTTAATATTCTGTTACTATCCAAACACAACTCCGGCGGCAAAAATTATCTCCATCACCATCATTTGAACATCTAGCCTCCTCTATACAAAATCCATCTCACTTCAACACCTGATTTCTCATCGATTGTCGGTCACCCCAAAGCTAGGGTTTCATGTTCTTAGCTGATTCCCGAAGGCAAATATTCAACAATCACCATCATTCGATCCATTGGCCTCCACTATACAAAACCCGTCTTACCTTGGCTCCTGGTAATTAGTCAAATGCCGACTGAGAAAGTGAAATGTGTTTTGAATATTAACAGAATATAAACTTTGGGTGGAAAAATGTCATTAAGGCAAACCTTAGGTGGGAAAAAGTCGTTTACTCATATTATTAAATAAGTGGATTCATGAACTGCTACCAAGTAACTAACAAAGCATTACATATGAACAGTATTTCTGATTGAGATTGTATAGATTATGCCAGTGATTAAGTGTGTGTACATATATATATATTTGCTGATGCAAGACATTCAAATAATTAACCCCACTACTAAATAATCTCAGCCTTTGATGGTCCTTCAATCTTTACATTATTTCTTCATTGTTTCTCCAATATCCATCATTGTCCATGTTCTTAGATGATTGAGCATAATTTCTGGATATCTACAACTGTACAAACATCATAACCAAAATTTATATCCCTCTCTACTTCACCAAGGCTTATTTCTCCGTCATCACCGGGATATAATGTCTTAAACTAAATCTCTAATATTATTTATAGAAGTCCAAATGTTTTTGTAGTTCAAGGGATTTGACTCAACATATCAATGTTCCGGTTTACACTTCATTCCAAATTCTTTGTAGACAGTATTAAACATATATATATATATATATATATATATCTTAGAATCTCTCTATAGTCATAACGTTAGGATCAACTAAATTTATTACTATAAGGAGATTATAACTTAATAGATATGTAGTTACAAGAATTATTATTTTGATTTCTTATTTTATAATTCATGTTTTAGTAGTATTAGAATTTCAATTTATTGTTTTAGTAGCATTAGGATAGTAACGAAAATGGATATCNATATATCTTTTGTTGTTTTATTACGGATACAGTTTGTAAGACATTAGATTTTATAACTAAAATTATCCTTTAAATAAAACCTTAACATTTTGAGAAATTAAAATTATGGAGTTGATTAATAATTGTTATTTAGGAAAGAGCCATACCTTGTGAAAAATTTGGTCATGTCCTGTTATGAAAGTGAAAAATGACCAATAACTTGCAATTGAGTTACGCATAAAGGGCTTAATTAAAATTGAAGACAGATGAATATATAAACAATCAAGTAATCAATTAAGTGAAGTGTGATTCAAAGAATTTTGTGCAGTTTATAGCTTATAGAATTAGTAAATCGAAATTTTCTCAAAGGTTATGATGTCAAAATCAACCAACTCTTAACTCTTTATTCTTATTATATTAATAAAAAAAGCTTAGCGTTTCATGGACGACTATCCCAAAAGTGGCGAAATTTTCAGGATCAACATCAGAAATTTAATGAAGGTTTGGTGTTAGGCAAAATAAAAGATGCTTAATATTGACATTGGGAACTCTTGCCAACTTCCTTAAGCAATAACTTCTTTTAGTAGTTACAAGTACACCTTCTGTTAGATAATTCTAATTATTTCAGAAAATTAATGGTGTTAGGCAAAATAAACTTTTCATCTTACTAATTATCATTTATATTTTGCATTGATAATTAGGTAATATTATTAAGAGTAATCGATTTTTTCCCACCCAAGTTTTGCCTTAATGGCACTTTTCCACCCAAAAAGTTTCAAAATACTACTTTTCCACCAAAAGTTAATATTATGTTACTATCCAAACGGAACTCCGACGGCAAAAATTATCTCCATCACCACTATTTGAACATCTAGTCTTCTCTCTACAAAACTCATATCACTCCAACACTTGATTTATCATCAATTGTCGGTCATCCCAAAACTAGAGTTTTATGTTTTTAGCTGATTCCCGGAGGCAAATATTCAGCAATCACCACCATTCAATCCATCGGCCTCCACTATACAAAACTCTTCTTACCTTGGCTCCTGGTAACTCGTCAAATACCGACTGAGAAAGTGAAGTATGTTTTGAATATCAACAGAATATAATCTTTAGATGGAAAAATGTCATTAAGGCAAACCTTGGGTGGGAAAAAGTCGTTTACTCATATTATTAAGTGGATTCATGAACTGCTACCAAGTAACTAACTAAGCATTACATATGAACAGTATTTCTGATTGAGATGTGTATAGATTATGCCAGTGATTGAGTGTATATTTATATATTTGCTGATGCAAGACATTCAAATAATTGACCCCACTACTAAATAATCTCAACCTTTGATGGTCCTTCAATCTTTACATTATTTCTTCATTGTTTCTCCAATATCCATCATTGTCCATGTTCTTAGATGATTGAGCATAATTTCTGGATATCTACAACTGTACAAACATCATAACCAAAATTTATATCCCTCTCTACTTCACCAAAGCTTATTTCTCCGTCATCACCGGGATATAATGTCTTAAACTAAATCTCTAATATTATTTATAGAAGTCCAAATGTTTTTGTAGTTCAAGGGATTTGACTCAACATATCAATGTTCCGGTTTACACTTCATTCCAAATTCTTTGTAGACAGTATTAAACATATATATATATATATATATATCTTAGAATCTCTCTATAGTCATAACGTTAGGATCAACTAAATTTATTACTATAAGGAGATTATAACTTAATAGATATGTAGTTACAAGAATTATTATTTTGATTTCTTATTTTATAATTCATGTTTTAGTAGTATTAGAATTTCAATTTATTGTTTTAGTAGCATTAGGATAGTAACGAAAATGGATATCAAAGAGTCATTGCAAAATTGAGTGATTAGATTCGACAACTTCACTATAATCAAATAGATATTAATGTCTTCATCAATCATCCAAATGAGCAATAAGTCGTGTATACTTTAACTGAAGAAGAATTCGTTACTGGAATTAAACAAGAGGAGTAAAGAGGTAATCTTGAAGATGATATATGGAAATACCAAAAGTTTCGTGCTAAGAAGCTCTAAATATACTTGAGAAACTAGAAATATTTTGGCTTTAACACCCGCAAGATAAAAGATGTGGTAACAACTCTAAAGCATAAATCATTGTCTCAAACAACTTTAGATAAATATTTTATTTCATCTTAAACCTTTGATGTAACATAACATATATTTTTTACAATATATATATAATTATTATTATGTAGAAACAAGTTCTTTAAAACATGATCTAAAAAAATTATAACTTATTACAATGTGAAATTTATTCTTATTTATAATTAATTTAAGTTGAGACCACAATTTTTTATGATTACATAAAGGTTATTTCTATATAGAATATCACTATATAAAAGTTATACTGTATATGTAAATTGCTGCGGATAGGGTATTTCCTGTGAAGATTCCGCAAATCCTCCGTGTGAGTTTAGGACTTTCATAAACCACACTTTTTCTCGGACAGGTCTATTCTAAAGTCTAAACCAACGAATAATTTTTGGACACACAAAAGCATATCATATTTTGTTACAGGTAGATTTAAATATTAATATAATTAAAGTGTAACTCGATCGATCGATCAATCAAGAACAAGTAAATATAAAGAGACAAGAGTAGGAAGACAAAAGAAAATTGAAAAAACTTTGAATGGGGCATATGCAAGAAAAAGAGGTACATATTGTTCCCTCATAAGTTTCAATCAAATTATTTCTTTTATATTTATTTAAAACTCAGTAATTGGATCGTAACAAAGTGCATGGTACATGATTTTTATTGTATATAAATGGAATCGTATTAATTTCTGGGAATAGAAACATTTTGTTCAGTAAGTCTTGCTATATAAAGACCTAGTAACTGTAACACAGTAGTATATAATTCCATATAATGAGCACATGGCATTTATTACCATATCAATGACATTTCACCTCTCTTTCTATTAAACTCTCACACTCAATCCCACCAAAAGGAGAAGTTTTTCTCATTCCATTTCCACAATCTTCATGGAGCCTCCAAAATTAGACCCCTCTTTCTCTCAATCTTCTTCCCCCATCATCTCAGAAAATATTAATAATCCTAAGCAATTACCAGAAAATCATCAAGAAGATCATATTTTGTTGGATCTGAGTCTCGCAAACAAGGATTCCGATGAAGGGTCGAATCCGGAACTTAACCTCATCGATTGTTTCAAGACAAATACTACTAATTCATCATCTCAAGATTCATTAGACGAGAATACTACTACAACTACAACTCCTCAAGGTAATAACAATGAAACCGAGCCTCGAGTTTTTTCATGCAACTATTGTCAAAGGAAATTCTATAGCTCACAGGCGCTCGGGGGTCACCAGAATGCCCACAAACGAGAGCGAACACTTGCGAAAAGAGGCCAAAGATCGATCAACAGTTCAGCATCTTTCTCTTTTGCTCACTCTAATTCTCAACAGAACAGATATCCTAGTATGGCGTCTCTTCCTTTGCATGGTTCATTCAACCGATCACTTGGAATTCAGGTTCATTCAATGATTCACAAGCCCTCTTTTGTGTCTTCTCCGATCGCTTCTTCGAATGTTTATGGTCAAAATAGGTGGTCAAGACAAGCGGCGATTGAGCAGCAACCGGCAATTGGGAGGCTGAATTCGCCAGAGAATAATTTCCAAGTGGGATTATCAAACTCTGCATCATCTTCTAGTAATGGAGCTGCAAGATTTGAAAGTGTTAGAAAATTTTCTGCAGTAAATGAAGGAAATATTGGAGGATTTTGGTGGGATTTTGTTAGCCCTTTTAAGACAAAACAAGATGAATTGCAAAAGCTGGACTTGTCCCTCAAGCTCTAAAGATTTTTTTTTTTTTTTCATTATTGCTTTTGTTATTTTCTTTATTTTTCAGTGTAGATGGATTTTTTTTTTTTTTTTTTCTGTGGGTTTTTTAGTTGAGCCTATTGTAAATGCTTTTTGGCAATAGAAGATTAATTTTGAGAGAGTTTTTGTTAATGGAAATAATAATAATATTCTTAAGTTGGAAGTTAATGAAATGGCTTAAATTCTGTGTAAGTTTGGTGTTAAAAGTTTGAAGTTTAATAAACTTTGACTAATTTCTGCATATTCTTAGGCCAAAAGTTACTGTTATAGCAGTAAAAGATGCCTCCCTTTCCTCATTTTGTTGGCAATTTCCCATTACTTTTTCAGGCTTTTCAAGATTGGTTTCACACTTCAAAACAATAAAATAAAGTTAGGCAAATTTGCATATCTTCAGTTGATCATAGTCATCACCATAATATAGTTCAAATTTCAAAACACAAGTAAGAAAAATGGGATGGACCCAAAATTTATTAAGGAAAGAGATGGTGATGAATTGAAATAGTTTGATGATTTTAATTGAATTAATGGTTAATTTGCATGTCTAATGGTTCAGAGATGGTCCAGTCCACAGGTAGAAATTTGACTGTTTGTGGTTGTCAATACATGGTTTTATCATTATGTACTTGAACATTACAAGGTCCACATACTGTTTACAAATTTAGATGGTTGTGATTGTCCCTATGACAACATCTTTGACCCACCTGCAGTTGAATAAATTGACCATCTCTATTAAATTTGAGGGCTTTTTTTTTTCTTTTTTTAAATAAGTGATAATATATGATTGAACAACAAAATTCTTTACTAGGTTTCTAAAACTACAGTAAATATTCATTAATTCATAATAGTATAAGTTCTAATTAAACTCATAAATCTTTGATGGGGGATATCTTTTTTAGTCTCAAATAAAATAATTAATAAAATGGGATTAAAAGAGGACAAAAGAGAATTATAAAGGATAGAAGGTGGTGGGGACATGAAAGAAAGAGGTAGGTGTGGCTTAGTGATGTTAAAGTTAAATTTAAAAAAAAGAAAAAAAAAAAAAAAAGTGTTTTTGCTATGCTATCAGCATCATTATATTTTTAGTGATATAATAATAAGGGTAAATCTTGATTTATCACCTAAGAGATCCCCTTGATTGGGTCCAAATCAACCTGATGTAATACAAAATCACATTATATTAATCATAATACAAACTTGATTTTCCTAGAATCAAGATGTTAAAAGTAACAGAAATCTTGCAATTATGACACTTAATTATCATTCAAATCTCACATTTACATTACACATGAGAATTGAGATAGAGATGTGATGGTGGTGGGGGGCATGAGTGGGGGCACAAATGTTGAATTTAGAAGAACCAACTCATCTGGGCTTCTGCCATTTGTCAAAATTCAGTTGGCTTGTCAATTTTCTTAGTGTTGGACTGGCTTTATCCTTGAAGAATTAATGGGATTTCAAAATATGGAAAACCTTTTATTTTGCCTCTGGGTTAAGAAACACTTGAAAAGCAACAGTTAGAAAGCGATACATGAGAAATGTGGAGCTATCATTTTGCTGAGATTAGGTGAAAATTTTAAGCCCCAAGAGGCTCTCTTTCAAGATCTTATCATAATTAAACAAGGGTTTGCTTGTCGTCTTTTAAATCTTGGTATTGTTTACTGAAAGTTTAATGCTTCAAAGGAGATGGAGATCTATCCAAATCCATTTTCAATCTATCACTTACTCATTCCAATACACATCTCATTACGTATACAACTACATCTCCACCTTTCAATATCAAATTATCTTTTTTATGTATATTTAGCCCATTATTGTAGCAAATCAGTAGAAACCCTTCTGCATAAAAACATATTTAAATAAATTGAAATTATGTCTTAATCAAACGTTAAATAGGCCGATAAGACTTTTCAATTGCACTAATCTTACAAAAAATCCTAAGAGATTAGCCTAACGATCAAGAATATTTGCTCATCTTCTAACATCGTGACTTATCTAGTCCTTTAAACTTGTTAAATTTTCAATGGACCTCGATGATTAGTTGAAGTGCACACAAACTGACATAAATACCTTAAAAAATAAAAAATAAAAAAAAACTTACAAGATATTTTGTTAATAAAATATGATGTTGGATACTTCCAAACGTTGATTTAAATAATGGGTTTGAGAAGGGCAGGTGTCTCATCAGTGTTGTTCAAGGGCTAGTTTCACAAAAGCAAGACCAATCATACCCTTGCATTTACCCCTTTAAGGTTTGGGTCTACTATTGCCCAGACCTAATTATAGGATAGACCCCTGATTCCAATATATATTAACCGAGAAAATGATGAAACAAATAATACACATAAGAGCACCATAGATAATTCACATATTTCTCCGAAAAAAAAAAAAAGATTTCAGAGTTATGATTATAATGATAAAACAGATAATTCACTCAGTACACGTAAAGACAAAATGGATAATACCCTCATCTCTGTGTTAAAAAGAAGTTGTTTCAGAGTCAAGATTCATTAGTTTAACTTAGTTTAACAGATATAAGGCCAACATCTTGACACTAGTAAGTGGACCAACAGCTATAGGTGGTTTAAGCCTCTCTCCTCGTACTTCCATACAATATACAATAACCTTTCAGTATTGGCCATTGGGTTTGCTTTTACAGAAATAAAGTAAATAAATAAAGCATAAGAAAAAAGGTCAGAGCAGCATAATATAATCATGTAAGTTATCTAATTGAAAAGAAAAATAAAATAAAAAAAGAACAAGAAAAGTAAAATTGAAGTCAATCACTGTAGAAGTGTAGAAAACATACTGTTGTGTAAGATTTGGAAGTGCTTTTAACATCAGCACAAGTATTCATTCTTAAATGGATCACCTATTCTTACAAATTTCAACATGATAATGATATGTTAACTAATAAATTCTGAAGCCTTCCCTACAAGCTCACGGGGAGACAAGCCAGACCAATTATATTCATTCATTAACTTACTTGTTCTCCCAAAACAAGCGACCAAATTTGCATAAAATATCAGTCACAGTTCACTTACAAGGCAGAATTTCTATAATACCACCAAAAATATCAGCCAGAACATTGCAGAAAATCTCTACTGCTTCTCAATGTATGATTTTACAGTTTGCATCCATCTAATGACCTCAATTCTATCCTTATTCCTCATGTATTCATGCAAGAAAACAGCTAGTTGTTCATTTATACCTCTTTCCTCCAAGAACTCATAAAGTGAGTCTTGCAGCTCATCGTCCAATGCCCTGTTAACACCAAAACAGAAACCAACCAGCATTGCTTCAAAAATCTACATATAAGATGCAGTAACATAACCCAAATTTTATAAGTTTGAAAAACAGAGAAAAAGAACAAAAAAAGTATGATGAGGAATTTGGAATTCTCATTGTATTGTTTATGTTTCCTTTTATCCATGGTTAGGCAAAAGAGATAGTTAGCACAGGTGATGAGCAATATTGTTTTGCTTTCAAATAATGAGCAATCCGAAATGACAGAAGTAGTTCTAATTGATTTACTCAGGTGTATTACTCAGTCAATCAGTTCCCCAAAACTCAAAAGTTTTACATCCTTTTTCTCCCTCTAATGTCTTGGTAGCCAAAAAGTAAGTGCAAAGAAAATAAATATAGATTATCATACTTGAATTCAGGACCAACATAAGGCTGAGCAGACATCTTGTTATTCTCTCGAACGAAAAGCTGGTTAATGTCTATGGTATCTGGCCAAGCAGAGCATGTGATCTCCAACACCTCACCATCACCCTTGGAGATATTGACAATCAAGGTAATGTGAAGCTTAACATCTTCACCTGCCGCAACACCACCTTTTGAAACAGGAATGGATCCATCAAACATGGTGGCCTCAACTTTAATATCTTCGTTCTCCCCAAATTTTCTGTTCAATCTGATCCACCGCTCTCCCGATCGCTCATCGACTGTGAATGAATTAAATTTGGCAATAGGCTGAAATTTAAATCCATGTTACAATCCAAAATTATATCCTGGAAAAAATAATAAAGAAATAGATGCTGATACTCTGTCGAGATAGAAAATTTTACTACGGGAAATTTTATAAACAATTTTCAGTCATTAGGATATGTCAAAGTAAAGAAGTAGGATAATGTTTCAGAAATAACTACTTGCAAAGAGAACACAACAAATTCAAAGAAAAAAAATCAGATGGCAAAAAAAGCTTATATTTGTGAAGCCATAGAGTTAAATTTAACCCAACTGGAGGTTCATGTTCTGTCAGTAACAGCCTAAAGTTCCACACAAAATGCCCATTAATATAATGGGAAAAACTAAGCTTCATTCAGTTTTAAGGTGACCAAGGAAAACAAAACTAATACAGGACCTAAAATCTTATGATTTATGTTATTAATTGTGAGTAATGGAACTCATCTGTGTCAATATAGGTGTTATGAATTTTGTTCAAATTTTCTTAAAGCCAAAAGCAATAGCCCCCCTCCCTTTGTTAGATTCCAAGGCCTATATGAACTAGTTTCATTTCAAATTTGTTTTTTTCATGTCAAGATATATTCTTTCCAAATATGATTGAGAGGGAAGCACATTTTCCCTCACACTATTTTTCAATTGATAAAAAACCAAATCATTAGTAGATATGGCTCTAAGAGGAAAAAATTCTTGGATTTTAAGGACCTAAGTAATGAAAAACCAACAAAGAACAAAATATATTTAAGTTTGGGTGGAAATCAGGTCAGAATTACCATTAAACTGAGCTGGTCTTATAACCTAGTAACCACAGAAAAGCAAAATCTAGAATGAGAAGGGATGTTGACGGGGCTACTAGCATAGCCCCTTTGATGCTCAAGTTAGCAATATGTATTGAGAAGTGCTGGGTCAGTCAAATTTGCACTCTCTTCATCAGTCACTTCTTTCCCTTGCAACACTTGGATTGTCTTTCGTTTATTTCAAAGCATGAGAAAATCTATGGTACCACATTGGTATTGCTCACGTGAAACCACAAGACAATGCATGCACGCCAAGAGGTTATTACATATAATAACCATCAATCACAAGTAATTTAAAGATAGAGGAGAGAGAAAAAATTCAGAGGTGACACAAATTCACTAGAGGGTAGTATGGATGATGTGGCACCTAGATGTATTCTAATTTTTTTCTCAAAGCATACATCTATTCAATTTTTAATTCATTTATTTACATTATGCCATCCTTAACAATGTCATCACTTATCATACAATTTACATGTTATACCATTACTTTTCAAAATCTCTCTATACTTTGTTGGAGCTATTCCTAGCAAATTCGATACAGTTTCTAATTGGTTAGAAATTTACTGAATCGATTCTTATTACAAAACCATTTAATCATTTATTGTAAACAAATTTATTTATTTTTGGGATTAATTTACACAAATCCGACTAACTGGTTTCCAAATCAATTTTTGAAATTGGGCTTGGGCCACTTGGTCTCAGATGCGTAGGAGCCAACTAAGCACTTTGTATTTTTGGGATTAGTTTACACGCACTAGGATAATTGGTTTTCATATCAATTCCTAAAATTGGCCTAGAGGTCGCTAGGTCTTGTGCACATGAGAGCCAACTAAACATAATTATTACCAACCACTTGGAGAGTATGAGCTTATAAACTACTCTCCACCCACTTTCCCTCACAAAGTGAGGCTTTTGCATTTCTGGAATGTCACTTCATGTCATAAAACCTTTACCTTCTCCTCCTTTTAAAATATCTTACCTTCTCCTCCTTTTAAAATGTCTTACCTTCTCCTCTCAACAAGTTCGAAGTCCTTAAAAGTCAAATTTACTCCTAAAAAAAGGAATATGGGTATGAAGGTAGTCCCAATTTCCCTAAAACTATTGACTCCATTGAGATTTCTAAGAGATCACAAAGAGTCAATTATGATCTCATATTCCTCTATTTATTCTTAATATGGTCTAGCTTAAATGATTGATTCGAAAAGTGAGTTGATCCCTTTTGACTATACCATTGATTATGTTGATTCTTTATAAGTCCCAAACTAAACTAAAAAAAAAATCCATAAACAAAGTATGGCATCCCTATAGTTTTTCATTTTCCTAATCAAAAAGAAAAAATTAGTAGCCCTCTAGTGGTCAAGTGGCTATTCAACCTGCTACTCTTGCAACAAAAAACTTATGTTTCCAATCCAACCTTTCTTGTCAAATGCTTCATAGATTGGGCATCACTCCTCCCCAACTTAATGCTTAGTCACGGAGGATTTGTCTGCATGCAGTTCCATGGGGAAGTAGTGTGAACTTTTTGATATTACCTTTCAATAATTTCATTTCATGTATCAAACGAAATGTTAGGATAAAAAATTCAGCTTCTAACATTTCTCAATCTGGCAAGGATTTGGTAAAATTATGATCCCTGAAGGTCATTAAAAGAAGAAGACTCTCTTAAATGAAGCAAGCTTGACAACTGTGAAAAGAAGTTGAAAATATATCAAACTTTAAAAGAAAACCCACAATTGGAAGGATAAGCACAGGCATCCTTTAAATAAGATAGCCAACTTGATAAATAATTCTTAACACTTTTAAATGAGATCACCTAGGATTACACCTCAGATTAATAATTATAAAATTTGAAAGGCTTATGTTATTGGCAAGTAATCAAACTTGATCAATCCAAAAAGATAACAAGTCTAAACATTTGAATGCAACAAGGGGCAGGCCGAGGATAGATAAAAAATAATCAAACAAGACCAAGCCTAATCCAAGCATGTGTATACAGACTCAATATACAAGTCACACTTCATAAGTAACAACCCCATAAAAGGTCCAACAATATATATTATCCAAATGGCTTAAAATGTAAGGAACATTTCATGCATAACAAGCTCACCAAGAATCAAAGAGAAAATGCCACCTGTCCATACGCATGGCAAAGGTAGCTAAATTCTCTCTCTACAATCACAACCCACTTGCTCTAAATACCCACAAATATAAAGTTGATGATCTATTATTTGACACATCATCAAGCCCACCACTTTCATGGACTTGCTAATAATTAGGAGAGAAGTCATGGCCCTAAAAGAACTACACCACTACAGAGCCAAGGCTTCAAAAATAAATATCTAAAGGGGACTACAAGGTCGGTACACATTATACATTAAACCTATTTACACTCTGAAATTTCGCTTAAACAAGTCACTTAAGCGCATATCATTGACTTGAACATTGGAGAGGTCACACCTAAAATCCCACCAAGGCCATTTCTAACGCTACATTGTGCCTAATGTGGTTACAGGATTACAGAGCTAGCTCACTTTAATGAGAATTCTGAACAAATCAACTTTCCCTCGAACATATTTCTTCTTGTTTATCAATTGGAATTGCCAAAAATTATCAGTAATTTACATCTTTAGGTTCTTATAATGTCAGCCAAAAGATAAACCACTTCAAACAAATTAATTATCAGCATCCCATGTTCAGTCAACCAAAGGCGCTTGTCTCAGTTCCCAGAACAAAATAAGAGTTCCATTTTCGGGGTTACATAAACACTTCACCAAAATCCAAATATATATATAAAAGCAAAATCCCATCGGCAGAAAAAAAATTTCACAGACCAACTTCACAAAACCAATAAAAAAAAACATATGAGACTCGAGCGAAAATTATTTACAATGAACAATTACAAGTAAAATACCTGTTTAGGAGGGGAGCGTTCAAGTTCGTATTCAATCTCGTTACGGAGAAGTCTTAGAATTTTATCTTGAAAGGCGGCTTTGCGCATTTTTCCTATGTAATTTCTTGTTGTGGTTTGAGAGATGGGGTTTAAGTTCGATATAAACAGAGCTTTGTTTTGTTTTGTAGTGTTAAACAAAATGGAGTTGTAGAGAAGCTGACTTCTATTTAGAGATCGTAGCAGACCTGACATTTTTTTTCTCAAGTCAGAGAAAGATTTGGAAGATGGTATTGGTGTGGGTTTAGGGTTTAAAGGTTATGCAGTAATAATTAAAAAAATTTAAGGGTTTAAGGGTTTAGGGTTTTGACAGATGGCCCGTGTCCTTTTGTGAAAAAATAATAATTAAAAAAAATTATATATGGACATTTTTTTGGTTTTCAGTAAGTCTTATAAAATTTCAGTGAGATTATATGACAATTTCAACGAGGTTAATGCTAATTTTAAGAATTATAATAAGGATTTCTAAAGAATCTAAACTTAATAATTAAAGGAAAAGCACTTTAAATTTTTCCTTCAAATTTCTTATTTTGAGTGAAAGACTGTAGCTGAAGATTTTACAAGCTATTATAAGTATATTTATCTGAAAACTTCAATCACATTGCACTCTATGATCTGAATTAGAGGTAAAATCGAGTCGAGTTGAGTATCTGGATACTTGAACTCGACTCGATGGCTACAGTATTGAGTTCGAGTCTAGTTGAGCTTGATGAATCAAGTTCGAATTCGAACTCATTACCTAATAATCCAATTCAAGTTCTAATTCGAGCTCTTTTAATCGAGTTTTAGTTGAACTTTTCAAACTTAACCAAGTTTTAGTTAAGCTTTTTGAGTTTTTTGTACAGTGATCGAACTCGACTCGTGACTCGTGAGATTACTCGAGCCAAAGCAAACGGCTCAACTCAGTTTTCACCCCTCGTCTGAACTACATACTCCTTTCACAAGAGAATTGTAAAAGAATTTATTATGGAAAATTTTAATTGATTCCCCTTTTGATCTCACAATCTCAATTTCTTGTTATTTTTCACATTAATGTTAGTAGTGTGAAGGAAGATGATTCAAGGATAGCTAAATACAAAAATTCAAGATAGTTGGAATCATATTCTTTAAGCAATATATAAAATCAAAATTGTACTTTCCAAATTATTGACTGTGATCAAACTGGAAAAATCTCTTCAATTATGTACTGTTTACAGGCAGAAAAATTAACAACAATGATTAGCAAAAGCTATTTATGCATAAACAGATGCATCTACAGAATATTTAAGTTGTCAATTAAAGCACCTATTTGTGTTGCTCAAACTAGCTCAAAAATGCCAAGCACTCTTGGGCTCTCAACCAAAATGTACATAATGCAATATTCATTCTCTGTTAGCGGTGAAGCCTTTATGATTTGGTTATAAGCAGCTATGTTTCATGAACACAAGGTTTCTCTTATCTCTTAGCATCGTCAGAAGGCCCTCCATTTTCGGTCTTGCTCATCTGATCCTGATGGGGAGCAACATTACTGGGTGCTGATCCACTTAACTTACTCTGACTAAACCCAGTTGTTGAATCACCAGATTTCTGATTACCAAGATGGTCTTTCTCCACTGGATTGTTTGATTCTGATCTGCTTTGTGCGTCTCCTACTGCCCTCTTTGTGTGATGTTTCTTCTCACCACCATCTTCTAGGTCTTTCGTAATGCTGCCGCTTGACTGTTTCTTTGATTCAACCACAATTTCTTTTACAGCCTCCTCTAGTTTACCTAGTCTTGTTTTCACTTCCAACAGCTCTGGATTTGATTTAGCTTTTTCTTCAGCCTCCTTTAATTCCAACTCCTTTGCTTTCTCTTCTTCCTCTCTCTTCTTCTTTTCCTCTTGTTCTTTTTTCTGCTCCAGTTCCTGTGATGATTTTTGACAATATAAGATAGAATCATCAAGCAGAAAGTCCACAGAATAGAGGATAAATCAACAATGAGAGAATTATTTTAAAAAAGCAGTATCAATATGACACAAGGAACATCTTGTTACCGCCTCCATTCTTCTCATTTCATAGCGAGCATATTGAGCCACCAAATATACAGCTGTTACAGGAAACACAATCCCTTAGATAGCAGCACCAAACCAGGAAAGACTCTAAATATGAAATATGGCAATGGTTGAACTTGAAAATAAAGATACCCAATGAAGGCATGCAGGCAAAGAAGAGTTGTACCAGATGGAAATCAATCCTGAGACAATATAACGGCATGTAAGCGTAAATTATTAACAACTGAAACAAAAACACATTCAAGTGTAGTGACAATCATCATGTGAACAATGAATATTTTCCTACGGACCTATTTCAACATGTTCATTAACTCCTGATCACTATAAAATCAGACCAACGAGTAACAATTCAACTTTTGCGCCCAACACATCTGAGCTAAATATGTTTGCAACAAGAAGGTCCAACATAGAAAAAGAGAAGCAAGTTTGAGATTCCTAGTTCAACTTCAGTCTGTAGAAACCACACCCTTTATCTACTTTTCAATAGCACAATTATTTCTAAGAACATCAATGTTACCCATCCCAGCAGTACAATAATACTAATCTCACTAATCCCTCTCACTAACCCCTCTCACTAATCCCATGTGGGAGTTTGTGATTGGCTTGGTTAGGTGGGACCCATTATTAGACAGACGAACCCCATATAAATTGACGAATTGTGAACTGACATGTGACGTTAGTAAGAGAAGGTTAGTGAGAAGTGTTAGTGAGTATAGTATTACTCCCCAGCAGTATCCTAAATTTATCATCCTAAGTAATATGTTGTCTCGTATGACATTAACATGTAAATAATGAACTGATGCGATAAGTGATGTGGTAATGACACATAGATGATACATAACTTAGGGGATATATGATTTTGCATACAACTTGGAATGTGAGAAGTACCCACATCAAAGACACTCCTTTTACACAAAAAGAAACTTAAGATGCCATAATACTGCATTTGTTTTGTTGATTAGGTATATACTAAACATCACAAACATCATATTTCCCAGTAGATGCAAGTGGGTGCCAGAAAAGCATGCGTAATTGTTCAATCAGCTAATAAACAGTGAAATTATTTTTTCAACATATCAAAAATTATAAAGAACGACATGTTCGACAAAATGCCCAACAGAAACCATTCATAAAGCAGCTCAGTATATGGAGATAAAAATACATAAAATAAATGAAAACAAAAACAAAGGCATCAAAAGGGTAAGTATAAAAACACATATAATACCCGAATTTCTTTTTTTTGGGAGGTTCAGTGAAGAGCATTTTAGCGGCAGTCATGAAATCGAGCTTGTCAAGTTGCTTGTACGCCTCGTGATAACGGCTTAAATTTGATTCAATCTTGTCAGCATTGTTGTTGGCATTGTGCTTTGTGGTGTTGGTGCAAAATGGTTTGGTTTGGGCGAGCCTGAATCGAACCCAGAGACTGGCTCTGGCGCGAAACATGGTTTTTCAATTTTGGATCCACCTCTTTGATTCTCTCGCACATGACATTTGTAAATGGAGAGGATACTGTGTCATGACTACTAAATAATAAATTGAGAGGACCTTCAAACCATAAGGGGTCGTTTGAAAATAACTATACTCTAAGGGCTTTTAAAGAAATCACCTCATAAAGTTCTTGCACATCTAGCCACCTCAATCAAGAACATTTTATTTTGTAAATTGTAACCAATGTTTTAAAATCTGGCCCGGCCCGGCCGGTTTATTCTGTTCAATCGGGACCTGGAAGCTTCAACGGGCCGGGTTTATATTTTTCCTATTCACCAAAAACCTTAGGATTTGGGAGGATAATCAACAGACGATTGACGGTCGGGATATTGAGGCTTTTGAAGAGAAAGTGATGGTGAATGCAATGGTGGTGACGGAGTTGATTTCTGATGAGTAAATCGACTGAAAATCGAACAAAACTGGCAGTAACAACAACCGGCTTTTGCCGGCGATTAGCAAGGCTAACGGGGGTAGGGTGAGGTAGGTTTTGGTTGGGAGGAAGAAGGGAGTAATTTTTGGGTGATAAGGAGGGTTGTCGACGCTGGCATCGATGAGATCTGACCTAGAATGCCGACGCCGGCGTCGATGAGATTTGGCCGAAATAAAACCTTTTTCGGCCAGATCTTGGGGGTATATTATAAGGGGAATGGGCTCAAGGGACGATTAAGGTTGCATCTGGGGTGTCGCCACCATCAACTAGTCGCCGGCCGATTTGTATTTTGGGTGTGTTTGCTAAATTTTAAACTTATAGGGACTTAAATTAGTGGTGTATTTGCTAAATTTTAGAAGTAGCGGTCAAACCGGTTAAACTGGTCAACCCGAGACTCGGCAACTTTGTCGAGTTTTACCTCGGGTTGGGTTTTAAAACATTGATTGTAACATTATCTACCGCACCAACTAGTGCTTCCACACACTCAGGATATGACTATCAAATTTGTTGAGTAGTATAAAGACTTTTGGGTAACTCACCCATATGACCAAGGTTTTATCGTCTAACCACAAAGTTAGTGGTTAGGTTTGTAATTTGTTTCCACTAAATTTGAAATTCGAGTCTCTTCATTGACACTTATATGACTAAAGGTGATTATTTACATCTTCTGAAAAATGTAGGATTTGGTAGCGCTCAATTTCCAACTCAAGTTTTGCAAAGCCAAATTGGAGGGGTTTTGGATTATTTGAAAAAAAAAAAAAAAATAGTTGTTATTATTTGTACTTAATAAAATCAAATCATTATTTTAGAAATATTCTTGTTCTAATATGTCGAAATTGGTTGGATATGCACAAAAGTAAAAGATGGATTATTTTTGAAAAATATGTCCAATCATGGTTATTTCTTCTCTTTCTCGTCAAAGAATCACTGAAACATGACCAAAACACTTGCATTTGCATGACTACATGTTCTTATTCATGCCCTTGAATCACATGTTCATTTAGTGTCGTTTCAGCACCATCTAAAATGTTGATTTGTCTACTTATTATGTTGCTCGACGTGCTTGACCATATTTCAAAAGTATTGTCATTCGAATATATGTCCAATTATGTTTGTTTGATGAAGGTTTTGTTGGATATAATGTATATTTCTCTTAGTCTTAATGGATTGTCTGTCTACGACGACTCATTTGAGGGTCTTGCTCATTTGGGTTTGGATCAGGTTAGATTCGGATAAACCTAAATAGGGTCAGGTTTTCTATTATGTATTTTCTGTAATAGGAAAAAACCTAAGGCGTGAAAGAATTAATAGAGATTAAGAGTGAGCTACTGTAATTATTTTTTATAATTGCTCTAGAGTTTTGATACTCAATAAAAAATTCTTAATTTTATCCTTTACTTGTAACGTGATTGGCTTCCAGATTCAACAAGTTTAAGTTTTTTGTTAGTTTCGAAGAAAGTCGTAAAATGTTAATTATTAAAGGTAATTTCTAATGAATGGTTTCAAATATACAAACTTAGTATATAAATTGATATGATGTAACTTTTTTATTATTAATTATTAAATGATTTTTGAGATGTTCTCTTATATTCAACTTAATATCACATCGTAATTACAGTAATATTCATTTCCAAATTACTATTCTTTTGACTGCCCGACGTTTCCAATGGTGACAAACGTTTAGGCATTAAAATGGGGCCACCAACCCAACCAAAAAGAAATCGGTTGAAAATTTGTGGGCCTCTGTCTATTATTTAGGTTGACTGGAGCCTATTTCTCTTGTTGGGCCCAAGTTAGCTCACCAAACACCCCAAATCCCAATGTCAAGCATTTATCTACTCCCCTTAAACCTCTTCAATGTTATTAATAATTCCACCAAAAAAAAAAAAAAAAAGGCCGATATTCTAGAAAAAAACAAATATATATATTCCAAATAAACTTTATACATATTTTATAGTTTCGAAAATTTATTAGAACATTTGAAACTTAAAGATCTATCTTATGTGGTGTGGTACTAAGTTAAAAAGATATTATATTAAGATTTAATCACGCAAATCAAGCACAAACTTACAAATTTAGAAATACGTATTATATGCGCCATATATGTTACATTATTTATTATACTAAATTTAATTTACTTAATTAGAATTTGTAGATTGTGTGGAGGACAGGGCAGAGAAGATTTAAGAGTAAATTCGACATTTTAAATGTGAAAATAAATAAGATTATGTAAAATTAACCCATCAACAACTCCTACCAATATTTCCCAATTTTATCAACTATATAATCATTTACTAAATTAAATATTCAACAATTCTACTTATTACTCTATAAGAAATTCTTCATTCTTTTTTCTATATATAAAAAAAAAAAAAAAAAAGCTATCTTTCTAGAATTTATTTAGCATTTACTTTGGAAAAATAAGCTTAAAATAATAGAATCATAAAAAGCAACAAATATAATTTTAATAAATAAAGATTTGACAAAGGCCTGGGAAGGTGAAAGAGAAGGCAAAGGACACTTTATCCAGAGTCCCCAAAAACCCTCTTAGAAATTCTCATTTTAACATCTCTTATTATCATTTAAGAAATCAATTTGCAACTTTGAAAATTGAACACAAATCAGTTAATAATTAATTAAATAAAAAATACATAAAAATAATTTGAAGTTGGGGAAAATAGCTTTAATATTTAAAGGGTAATTTTGCTCATATTTGAAATTAACTTTTTAGAGTACTTAGATAGACTATAGTTAAATTATTAATTTATTTTATTTATTGAAATATAGAGACAAATAAAATTGAATTATTTAAAGTTAGAAGTGTAGGTGTAGAGGGATACAAGGTCAAATTATTTTCCACAAGCTTCACCTTTGAACATGGAAAGCTGCCTTTCGAAGCTCAAACTCATTTTTATAATTTTATATTATAATCAAAAGTTTATTCTTCCAACAACTCTACTTAAAATAATATTTAATTATATACTAATTAATCAAAATGATTTCAAATTTTGTCTTATAATCAAAGAGTATTATCAAATACCTCCCCTGAGGTTTCAACTCCTCCAGTCCTCCCACAAGTATCATAAATTCTCATATATCTCCCTTCAAGTTTCAACTTTCTTTATTTACATCCCTTAAGCACCGTTTTGTATCAGAAAAAGGTTAAAATGAATGGATTTGAAAAGCTTTTCTTCTCAAGAGAGGGAGAAACAAAAAAATAAATGCTGTTTCCTTGAAATAAATTTTGTCACTTGTGATTATAAAACATCATCTGAAATGACACATGTGCCCCTAATCAATAACCTTTGATCGTGACAAAACGGTGATCAAGGGAGCAACTTGAGAAAAGCTTAAATGTGAGGGGAGATTTTTGGGAAGTTCTGATACGTGTGGGAGGCCTTTGAGAAAATCTAATACCTTAGGGTAAGTATTCACGATAACCTATCAAAATCAAACTTTTTATAAATTTTCGACAAGTAAACAACTTTTGCCCACCCAAGGTTTGCGTTAATGACACTTTTCCACCAAAAAAGTTTCAAAATACCACCTTCCCATCCAAAGTCTATATTCCGTTAATACCCAAAATACACTTCACTTCCTTAGCCGACGTTTGACGAGTTACTAGGAGCCAGGGTAAAAAATGTTTTATAGAGTGGAGTTCTGTAGACCTAATGGTGGTGACCAATTTAATATTTGCTTTTGAAGTCAGTCGACAATCAGCTAAGAATAGGAAACTTAACTTTACAGTGGCTGATAATCGACAAAAAACAGGGTCTAAGTAAGAGAGTTTTTGTAGAGAGAAGACCGGAGGTTCAAACGGTGATGACGTAGAGAATTTTCGTCGTTAGAATCCGCGGAAATCGGCTTTGGATAGTAACGAAATATTAATTTTGGGTGGAAAAATAGTATTTTGAAACTTTTTAGGTGGGAAAGTGTCATTAAGGGAAAAGGCATTTACTCAATTTTGGACATGGGTTTTCTCTCCATTTATGGAAAATTTCAATTTCTATAAATTGTATGTTATTGTTGTGATAATTGATTTACCATACACGGCATAAATATTAAATGGGTTGTCTTAACCGCTAATTATTAAACACCTCATTTAAAAATATAAAAACACATTATAAATCTACAAAAACCTTGAGTATTTGATAAATTTTCGAAAAATTTTGGACCACTTAAGACTTAACAATCTCTTAAATGTGGATAAAACTAACCTAAAAACAAATAAATAATAGTTTTATTAATAAATAATAGACTAATAGTGTAAAGCATAGTTCCCTCGTATAAATATCGAAATATCGAGAAGAAATGACTTGTAACATTAAAAGATCTGAACTGTAACATTAAAATCAAAACCATTTGGTGTTGGCCGATTAACAAGATTTTAGAAAAGTCTTATGTTTAAGAATTAGTTGAAGTATGCGTAAACTGGTCCGACCTAAACCAATAACAAAAGAAAAAAAAACATAAAATATACTATAAAAAATTATTTAACATTATAAATTTCACATTAAACAACAATATTTCCAGTTAATAGAAGGTTAATCCCCAAAAAAAAAATAGAAATGGACCCACCTAACTTAAAATGATAATGATGTGATAATATTCCCTTTCCTTTAAAAAAATCCAACACTAATCACAATTTAATATCATACTCCCACTACATACCATAATTACTCAACGTTACTTTCTCCCAAAAACCATTTTTCAAAATCCTCACAATGGCATTTCCGTAGTTTTCTTCAACTCCAGGCCTTGATTTCCACAACTCTATACTTATATAACTACCTTTGTCTAAATTAAAAATACCGGTGAGGCACAACCTGCCGCCGGTTGTACACATTAACAGAAGATTCTCATTCTCTTTATCAGATTTTCCAAAATTTTTATTAATCTTAATTTAATCACACAATAATTTCCCCCCTATTATTTTTTTCAGCAATCTCAATCTTTTCTGGGTTTGACATGATTTTCTTGATTTGATGTATGTTGAAAAGGACCCCAGGAAGGTGTCATTTTTTTTCTTGGCAAAAGATTATAAATTTATGACACAAAGTCTTCAGTTTGGTGATATAATTTAGCAAAAAAGAAGAATTTTTTTTTAAAAACATAATGTGGTGTAGGAAAAATTCAAGTTTTGACGATGGAGGATCAGTGCCAGTGTACTTAAATGTGTATGATTTAACACCATTTAATGGTTATGCATATTGGCTTGGTCTTGGAGTGTATCATTCTGGAGTTCAAGGTTGGTATTTTAAGTTCTGTTATGTGAGATTTTTGCTTAATATTTTTTCTGGGTTCGTTTTAGATCTGATTCTGAACTTGTTAGATCGCTTGTTTTGTTTTTGGTTAATGTTTTCAGTGTCGTTAGTGTTTCTGTTTGTTCTGTTGCTTACACTGGATCTGGTGGAGCTTGAATAAGTAAACTGAGTGGTTCATTGTGTTTGTTATGTTTGGTTAATGGGAATGGCAGGAAAAGGGAATGTAGTTCAAGTTTAGACTTTGGGGAACTTTTTGTGATGCGGGTTTATGTTTAACTGAGCTTAGAAATGAAAAAAATCTGATCTTTTTCTGGGTTTATTTGATGAAGTTTGAAACTTTGAAATGCAGTTCATGGTGTTGAGTATGCATTTGGAGCTCATGAGTATCCGACGACTGGGATTTTTGAGAGCGAGCCGAAACAGTGTGATGGATTTACATTTAGGAAGACAATTTTGATTGGGAAAACTGATATGCTGCCTTCAGAAGTGAGGGCTGTAATGGAGGATTTATCAGATAATTATAAAGGAAATGCATATAATTTAATCACAAAGAACTGTAACCATTTCTGCAATGATGCTTGTATTCGTCTCACCGGAAATCCTATCCCCAGCTGGGTCAATCGCCTCGCCAGAATCGGTAAGGCCTAGTTTCATTGTTGTTTTTGGCAAATATGTAATTTGTTAGTGCAATGGAGAAAAATGGTGAGAAATATTAGGATAAAACTGCAATATGGTACTTAAATTTTCTTGCATTGTCTTTGAAATTTATGGTTTTTGATGTCATTTATTTGATTTGTATATAATGTACTGGTGTGGTTCTCTTATTTTTCCAGTTCTGGGTTTGATTATGATTCTGCACTGAGTGTTTAAGAACTGTTGTTTATCAGGGTTTTTCTGCAATTGTGTTCTTCCGGCGACTTTAAATTCGACTAAAATCCGGCATCATAGAATAGAAGATAAAGCATACGAAGGGGAGAAGAAGAAATTGACAAGCGAATCAAACAGATTCACATCTTCAAATTCTTCTTCATCTTCATCGTCTTCTCCTTCCGGGACTCAAGTTCGCGGTAGAAGTAGAACCAGGCGAGCTCTTCCTCCATGTTCACCTTTGATTCTTGGTTCTTCATAATCTTGATGTTCAAAATGTTACAAAATCCTATCCATTTTTTTTTTTTTTTCTCAAGTAGCTCAATTAGAGGTGGCAAAGAAAGGCAAAATTTTAGTTCTTTCTTGTGATTTGTTGAGGCTAACATTTTGTTGCAGGAATGTTGCACATATTTGTACAATTTTATGCTTCAATTCCATTTTTTTTGTTGTGTTTATCAAATTTGACCTCCATTTTTGTTAGCAAACAGTTGGCCATGGAAAATTTTGTGTTTTTATCGATGATGATTTAGACTCTCCTTTTGACAATCTTGCATTTCACAAAAATAATGCAAATTTAAACAGTGTGTGAACACAATTATAATTGGATTCGGTGAAAAGATTGAAGTAGATTTAAAGTTATAAAGTGGGAAAGTTAAAGTAATAAACTTCTGTAGAGTTAGAGCTTTGAGTTTCCCATGAAATTTGCAGTCTTTAACAGGAGAGATTCCCCTCAAAATGATAGTCAAGAATTTTTCTTTTCTTGGTTTTCTTGAAAAGGAAGGTTCAACTAGGGGTGAAAGCCGAGCTCGAGCCAAGCGACTAATAGTTCGAGTAGCTCGAATAATTCTATAAGTCGAGTTCGATTATTATATAAAAAACTCGAAAAACTCAATTAAACTTGATTAAAACTCGATTAATTGAACTCGAATTTGACTTTTTGATACCGAATTCGAGTTCGAACTCGATTCATTAAGTTTGATCAAACTCGAACTCGAACTCGATACTATAGCAAACAAGTCAAGTTCGAATACCCAAATACTTGATTCGACAATTTTACCCATAATTCAACCAGTGAAGTTAATCTTCGTGGTTAATGTTACCCATGTAAAGTTGAGTTGCACACATTATTTTAGATCCAAACTTTATATACATAATACTATTAAATCATCTATGTACGGATGTTTCTAGAATAAAATGAGAATTTGGAAAAAGATAGAGATTAGAAAACATGTCAAGTTGCATTTAATCGTGGATTATTCTCGAAAACTAAAAGAATCTTAGGCTTTAATCTTGTTGTACATTTGTGTGATAAAAAGTTAAGAGTTGAGTGCTTTGAATAATCTCTTTATTCCTTGAGTTATATTTAATCTGGTTTCTTTTACAAAATGTGTGGATGGTGTCATGCTATCCACTTTTCTTTTATCAGTTCTTCAAGTCAAATTTTAATAAATTACAATAAAAATGACACAAAAGGGTTGATGCAATTCTTGTTTAAATCAAGGGTATTATTCATTTCCTTGCTATATATTTTATATTCACAATAAATGGGCACGTCTATTTGTTTAATACTTGTTCTTTGTTAAAAAATAATCCATGATCCAGCTCAAAGTTTTTAGACCCTCACGATAATAATTTGTACCAAGTCAGATCTTGTTCTTGAAATTAGAATTGGCAAACATGTGTTGAATTAATATTTAATATAAAATTCCAAAGTTTTAAGTCCGGCTTTTTGCTAGGTATTATTTTGCATAAATTATTTTCAAACAATGAATTCAAAAATAAAAAAAGAAAATTAAAGTTTGTACTTTAAAGATGCCATCTTTTTTTCTTTTTAATTTTCTTTGATTAACATAAATAGTAATAATATTAATAATAATAATTTGAGAGACATTAATGGAAAGCTGATTCTACTCCTACTGAGCAAAAGATTAAAAGCCAAACGACATGGAGAAGCTAGCATTAGAGGAAATGTGCATAAAAGATTGCCCTTTCCTAGCAATTGCTGCTTGTGAATTCACCTTCCATCTCAATCACAATTCTATCTGCGTGCATTTCTAAATCAGGAGATATCTAATCGGTTTCTACCATTCGATCTTGATCAAGGGTTGATCCTCATCCTATTATGATAAACAAGTGTTCTTCATTATCAATAAAGGGTTCAAGTAAATCCTTGAATAATGAGAGTAATTGGCAAGCAATTCCCATGTTTAAAATCTAAACCCATGAACCTCAAGGACTGGCCTGACAGTCAAGGAGGTTTGCTCCCTTTCTTGAATTTCTGAGTTTAAATCTTGAAACCTCCTATCACAATAATATTCTGGTTTATTTAATCTTTTGAATTTTTAAGATGTTCAATAGATCCTAATGATTAATTGAGATACGCACAAACTGATTTGAATACTCTAGTTATCGAAAAAAAAAATTTGTTGGTACAAGACATTTAAATTAAGCTAAGTGAATATAAAAATCTTGCAAGATATGAATTCGATTGATTGAAAGTGACACAGGACAATATTTCAATTTTAAAATTAAAAATACTTATCAACGTGTGATCATATAAGGTACAATAGGATATGAAACACAGTATAGTATTAGACCAAGTTATAGCGACACAACACTGAATATTTTTTGACCTTTTGACATCAAGAAGGATAAGGAAAAATATATGTCATTTTTTCAATAAGTGAACAAAACAGCTACGGAAGAAAACAAACAAATGGTACCTTCCCGTGAGTGATCAAATCAAATCAAAGCGACCGACCACACCCAAAATTAGTTTTGGGTTACGTTCTCACTACTAAAAACATATGCATATAATTGCTATATAATGCCAAATCAGATGTTACCAAGAGGGTATTAAAATTTGTTGTTCAAATCACTTGGAAATTGACATTCATTGACAATGAGAATGTGAATGAGCAACTTCCAGGAGGAAGCACCCCAAATTCAACTATCAGCTATGTTACTAAAACATCTAACAGTGACGTGATGTAATGGCTGTTATAGAGCCTTCCTGCAGACTTGAGATTGAAAATTACGTAACAGTCTTGCCTTGCTAAAACAGCCAAATGAAGAGCAATTATCACAAATAGATTGTAAAAAACATTGGGGTTGGGGACAGACACAGACTTTGTCAGAGAATAATACCAGCATATGGATATGGTAAAGGCAAACAAGGAAAGATTCCTGCCAAATTGTAAGGATTTTCAAATTCATTTGAAACAAAACAAAACCAAACCTCGACATTAATTAGCACCTTTGAAACGATAACCAAACGATGCTACACTAATTTCATCAAACATCTATACCATCTATGCAACTGATCCACAGTTTATTCAACAACATAGCAAACTTCAACCATCACTACAGTTCTTTGCGATAAATTATAGTCGAAAGCTATTTGACAGTCATCATATAATGATAAGGCTGATGAGTTTTGAGGATAACTCTCTCATGTCTAAAAGTGAAATATAAATATAAAATCTGGATTGCAAAAAGGAAAAAATGCTGGGGCCAGTTTGGTTTGTGTACTTTCAACAGTCCTGCAAAAGATTGATCAAATAGAAGCGATTAAAGAAGGCAGCACTTACGCTTCTGCGAAGCTTAATACAATTTTTGGAAACTTCTATGTGTAAAATAAAGATTTCAATGCTACCTACTTAAGTAAAAATGGCAGTTTACAGCTGAGAATCAAGTTGGCTAAAAGAAGTCGAGTTTATGCTTGCTTTTCTTTCATCCAGTCTACAAAATTGTCTAGGATCAATGGCCAAGCAAGCTTCGGATCATAGTTGTTGAAGTCCGGGAAGCTTATCTGTCATGATTTAAAAGGTCATCAGAGGCTCAAAAACCCATAAACATGGTGTTTAAAATAGAAAAAAAAAAGTGCTCTTTATTAAGGGAAAAAAAAAGGCACTAAGAATGCAACGACATGGTTATTATGCAAAAGAGTGCAAAGAAGCAAACAAAATACTATACAAGATAAGATGAAATCCCTCCTCTTCTCCCCTTTTCATTTCTATGATTATTTCAATGATAACTTGACCCTTTTCACAGAGAATAAAATAGTACATATTCCAAACATAGCAAAACTAGTACATATTCCAAACATAGCATAAACTAGTACATATCCCAAACATAGCATAATAACAAAAGGGAAAGAAGCAACGGTTTACAAGCCACGTCTATCCACAGCTCCACAATGTAAGAGAGAGAAAATAATTATGCATTTTACAATTCCAAACCAATCTCCCACCCATTCCTCTTAAAGAACCCTACAAATAGTGGGGTCCCAATGCTTCTCATAATATATACACATGCCAACAGAAAATTTGAAACATTGCCAAACAACATATATACACTTCTAGCTTGACAAAGAAATATATTCCAAGGAATATTTTTGCAAAGCTAAATTCCAAATCAGAAAACAAACAATAAACATTCTTTTATTGGGGTGTGTCTCTGCGCATTGGTGTGCATGTATGTCTTGTAAACAACAGATGTTTCTCAATTATATGTGCTCTTAGAAGATAACCACATTGGCAAACTATTATTTTATAAGAACACAGAAGAAGTTCCAAACCAAGAGTAAACAGTAGAACTACCTCATTGCAGAACCTGAAAAAGCCCATCCACTGATCCATGTTTATGACCTTGTAATCAGTTTGAACCTGCACCCAGAATACAAGTATAGATATATTTGAATTAGGATCACTGCTTTTTCACTTTGAGGGATGGGAGTGTCTCAAAGACATTAGCATTATATATGTAGCTACCTTTTTGCAGGAAATTTTTTTTATGTAATTACCCCACTTTTCAATCCACAAGATGGCAAAGTGCAACAGTAGTAACAGCCAAACACAGGTAAGTTAACAGACTAGAGAGAAGTTGAATTATAAAAGATAATAAATCCTAGTAGTTAAAATTGAAATGAGATCTTCATTCAATAAAAACAAGATGAGATGCAGGTGAATTAGCTGTATCATATTAAAAATATCCAGCACCATATCAACTGCAATCTCTGAAGACATTCAATCAAGTAGCCACTCACCTTTAGATACTCAATAAAATAGTCAACCTGGGCACGGCATTGGGATCCTAAAACAAGATCCAGCAGTTCACAGACACTCTCTATGTCTACACTCTTTTGTTTCTCCTCTGACAGAAAATACCATAGATATTAAAAAGCAGCACAAAAAAGGAACAAAAATATGGACGTCTCAACATCAAACTTCATGCGTCATAAACTCATGATACCTGTCAAGCAATACCGGAATGCATAGGAATAGAAATCCATAAAGTTTGATGGCCTTTTAACCTTTAAAAGATGAAAAGAAAATGTCAGCATTTCTACACCATTTAATACAACAAATCCAAGAATCATTTAATATTAGAAGCCAATCAAATTGGCAAGCGTTCAGAAAGGAAGACTGTAAGGATATTCCACCTCTTTCTCCAGCTCTGGGAGGGCCTTCTTTAATTTATTTACATTGTCAGCCCTCAGTGATTTGAGGCCTCTTTGCCACTCCTCCTACCAAATAAAGATTGTTAAGGCAGTTTATAAGGCAATACCAAACACACCCTACAAACACATGAATTAATAATGTACCATTGACGATCCTCAAACTTAAAATGTCTTGAAGCGATGCATCAGACTAAACATATACATAATTAGGAAAATATTCTTCTTCAGTTAGCAGACATGTCTGAGCTGCTGCCAAACAGTTGGCAAATCAAACAAAAACCCCAGTGAAATACTTATGGGTCATTACTATTATTTCACAGAGGTATTAACACACTTCAAAGTGGGTGTCAGCCTAGGTGTGACAATTTACACAATACCCATAAACACAATTCAATTCAATCCAATGCACAGTTAATCGAACTGGATTTATCCTAGTTCCAGGATGTATCTAAACTGGTTAAGGGTAAAAATGGTTGACTATTTAACATGATAATTAATTAGGTAGTGCTCACATTCAACTGCCTAACCCAGAATTGATCTGTCATTGACCTACATAAAAGTTATTTTCAATCAGTCTACTCTTAATCTGTGAATTGAGTTGTAAGAATTGTTAATCCCATACCATGGTATGATCCAAACAAAAAGCTTGGGAACCATGTTTACGAACAGATGGGTGAAACAAATGAAAATTTTTTGCTAAGAAAACACAAAAAATAGAATTCCTAGGCATGAAATAAATCTCTAACCTTCACATGATTCACTTTAAGAACTTAAAAGCAATTAAGATGTTTCTAAAAGGCTCATCCCACACGAATAACATATAAGGGAAACAAAAGCAACGTTGCATTCGATTCTAGTCCCCACCCACACACACCTATTCTCCCTTCCTGTTTTTAGTTCAGAAACTGTGAAAAAATGTGTTTCTATACTGTTCAAACTTATGCTAATTAAAATTACTAGAATAAAGAATTCAAACAGATACCCAAACTTCTTCTTATGTCCTAAATTCCACCAAAAAGTTGAGAATAAATTTGGTACTCAACAGCTGGATCGTCATGTAAAATGATATGCCAATAAGTGAATAACTGAAGGATACAAAACCAAATAGCAATTCTATCTAGTTCAGATAAAATAGAAAGAAGAATTTGTGAACAAGTTTATATAAGTAAAAGTGCATATGAGACCAATGATCCTTACCAGGGTAAAGTACCCTTGCTTTTCAGCTTTCATTTTCCTGATATGTGTAGTCCATCAGTTCTACTATATTATCTTGAGGCTTAGAGTAAGGAAGGAAGGTATCAAAAGCATACATATGCAACTTACCAAGCCAACATCAGGACCCTAACATCAGTATGATTGACTTCCATATCTGAACAAAGAGCTTCAATTCCTTCTGGGCTGTTCAAATAGAGTACATAACATCACATATTATTCACATCTTCAAATGCATACTCGACACATACACACACACACAAACACTTTTTGAATTACAACAGCCTGGTGCCCTTTGATACATGGTATATCTTAAGACTAAAAGATAAAATAACAAATACTTCCATTAGTAGATTATACACAATCTATCTTGGTTGTCGTAAAGCATCTGTTCCTTTTGCTTTTTCATTTTTCAAAAACCATCCTATATATTCCTCAATCTTTTGAGAACCCCACATGTTCCTCAAAGGGAGTAAGTTTACTCACATTAACATGATGGCAGTTCAATTTAGCATCATTTACCACTTAAGTTTGCAGCACAAACTTTTCTTTGAAACTACTATACATACCAAGACAATAATAGAAGATGAAAATATCTGATCCCCAGAAGGATAAAAACTTAAAGAGTTCCAAAAGCTTTTTCACAGAAAACATTGGAGAAAAAACATGCACCATGTTCTTGATCAGACTATGCTAGCTCTCAGACAATCAAATGGTCGACAAACCATCATGTCGAGGAAATTAAAGAAAAGGTAGGACCCTTAGGTATTGGTCAATTTATGTAAAGTAATAAGGAGTAACTAAATAAATAAAAATAAACAAACAACCTAAATACGGAAAGAAGAGTGAAAAAAAAAAAAAAGATAAACTGCACAGATTAAGTTGTACATCCAAAAATCATAATTCATAAAAGTTCTTTAGTAATTCTCCTTTGTTTAACTAATCTGCACTTTGAGTATTTATATCTTGTTGACAAGACATAAATTTATTGCCAGTAACTATCAGACTTCAAGAATCAGCATTAGCCAAATATTAACGTGGGCCCTTGGCTACCTTAAATTATCCTCGACCACATAGGCCAAAAGTTTATTTAAAATTTTTCAATAAGATAAATTTTTACTTGATACTTAAATTAGCATCAAATTTAGCAATCTTTTAATCTGACCCATTTGGTCTGATGTTCTCCAAACATTTTTAAAAAAAACTATATTATAGAAAATTTGAGGCACATTTCAATCCACTTAATATCCGAAAACATGTTTGATAGATATTCAAAGACAATTTCAAAGTTGGAATGTTATTTAAAACAGAGAAAATGACTTTTTTTTTTATTTTTCTTTTCATACTTCTTAAAAGATTTTCAATCAGATGTATTTTCTTAAAGTTTCTTTCATTCCTTGTTTTCAAAAAAAGAAGAATTGTATTTAAACTCTGAACCAAACCCCCCTTTAATTTCCTATAAAATTTACAAGTCACTTCAAAAACTTCAATTTTAGCATTCCACTCTCATTGTAACGATGACATTCTAACAAGATAAAATGGTAATAAAGGATTTACGTCGCTAAAAAGGCAGGTAGGACTTTATTGAGTTGAGTCAACCAAATTTTGTGCATGTTTGGCATCTAGCCATTAATTTATTTCTGTATTAACAAGGTATTATTAGCTTAGCTGTGCAGCCAATTATAAATTTATTTCATATCTAATATGGTATTGGCTAATATTACTTCTTTTTTTTATCTAAATCATTCAAAACTTTATGAACCAATAAAAAAAACTCCAATCTCTACAATTATGTTAACAGTAAATTTGCAGCATTACCCAAAACCGACAGTCTCTTTTATGCAACTGCATTGGAAATTGTAATCAACAATTACACAAAGTTTAATCAAACACCAGCTATAGTTTATGAAAACCTAATAATGATATTTATATTAAATTATAAAGTACTACCAAAAATTGCAAAAAATTATAATACCAATGCCATAAATCAAATCACTTATATAAAACTGTACTTACTCGATCACACCGGAAGACTTATTTGCATATGTATAAAACAGGTTGTCAATTCGTTCCATCTCTTTCAAAGATGCTTTACCTGAAGCTGAACAAATAAGATACAAGACGGTTATGACTGTCTAATATTGCTGTGGCAATTCTACAACATCTTAATAAGAAAAGAATAAAAAAATAAATTAAATTTTTCACAAAATGAACATAAACAGAGACCAGTTACAAGTTTCAGTCCCTTAGCCCACAAATTTTCAGCCATAATATGTGAATAGGTTCACTTCTATTTTTTCTCTTTGACTCCCTTTGATTTTCTTAACCTCTTAAAACTTTTACATCCATAAAACAGGATTGACAACCTTCCCAAACATGTCAACCTCACGCGAATAGTATGATAAAATCTACAATCATTGAAATATAAAACTTAATTAGCACAGTACAACATGTATGTAATGTACTTCAAACAATTTTGGAGAATTTCACGACATGTTTATTGCACTTTAATTGCTATCAGTTACACGAGTCGGAAAAATTGATCATTTAATAAGGATCTTCAAACCGTGTAGGAGGAACTAAATAATCACACTTCTAAATGGAAGGGTACAACAAATGTTCGACAAAGGACAAGCTGAACACATAAAAGTTTTCAATTTATAGCTGGTCCAATCATTGTCTTTGTGTGTGCCACGATTTTCATATTTATAAAAAATATCGAACATAGTTTCTTATAAAATTCCATCATATGCTTTCAAGCATTTATTTTAACAAATTAAACAGCAAAAGATGCATGAAAATGTAATTATTTGCATATGTCTTTGTGTTTCGACAGTAATAATCTGAAAAAGAATCCAATACAGTTTTTCTGCGTTGGAATTACAGTTTCATCCTCGCTTTAAATTCTGTCCAATAAAAATAATTTCCTTTTTTTCCACATGGTCTATTCACTTATATATAATTTAGAACCGAGCTTCTTATTCCAATTCCAGAGAGGTAAAAATTCAAACATAAAGGCGGTTACGGACATCCGTTCAATGAGAATTTCAAAAGCAAAAAGATCATAATAAGTGAAAAAGATTGACCGGACTTCCTAACACAATAGTACGGCTACAAATGAACAGACAAAACTCAAACAGAGCTAAGCAATTTGCTCAAGTAATCTTTTAACAAGAGAATTTTGCTAAAAAGAGCTGAAAATTTAAAGATCATCATATCGCAATCAAAATCAGCAAAACCGAGAAAAACAAATTGAAATCAAGAGATAAAAAACGAAGATCGATAAAGTAAAAAAGGAAGATACCAGATCGAAAGAGATCGGGAGAGTCCGTAGAATTACTTTGACCCGTTTTCCTCGATGCAGAACGACGCATCTTCGTAAAAAACATGAGAGAATTATACTTTTGAGAATATAACGATAATTTTATAAAAATAAATTAAATATAAAGAAGGAAAAAGAGAACCTCGGAAGTGAGCGAACGAAGAAGCTTCGTCGCACGAAAAAAGTTTGATGATGCTGCTGGAGCGCCAATTTCTATATAGAAGCGAAACCTTCCTTTTTATTATTTTATTTTATTTATTATTTTAATTTGTTTTTATTTGAGTGAGAGAGGGAGTAGTAGTGTTCTAATTTTTAGTTGATATGTTTGAAATGGATTGTTTAGTTGTTTGGTTGGGTTTCGGGGAGTTACGGTTATACTTCTACTTCAACAACTATATTTATGGAATTTTTTTTTTTTTTTTTTTTCGAATGTTCAGAGTATTTAAACCAATTTACAGGTATTTTAATAAATTCTTGAGATCAATTCATGCGTATTTTAACTAATATCTATAGTCAGTTCGCATGTCTCTTAACTAGTCTCCCAAAAATAGTTCGCGCGCATCTCACCTAGTTTCAAAATCTATTAGACATCCTAACAACTCAATATTCTAAGATAAAACATAAATTATTAAATGATTTTCACATGTAAGTATTTATTTCACATCTTATTAATAATTAGAGATGTAAAATTCATTTATCATATCATTTCCAAACGTTTTTATTTGATCAAATTCAGTCTTATGATATTTGCTCAACATTTCACGTAAATTACAACGATATATTAATTCTTTTATCAAAATATGGTATTAAACCTTACCATGTATGAAGGGACGCATCCAAGATTTTTAGTTAGTGGGGTCGAAACACTCAAAACATAAATATAAACCGAACCTCCATATCTTATAACTTAGGTTTTCCTAACAATTTTTACTAACCCAATAAAATTCAACCTATGAAAACTTATCAAATCTAATTCTAAATATCAATCAATTAACATATATATAAAAATTAAATCAAATCCCTAAATCTCTATAATTTAGGGTTCTATCAATTATTTAAATTATTCATAATTAACTCAATAATTAATCAAAATTTATCAAACTCAACTTAAAACAACAATTAATTAACCTATACCTTAACATAATAAGATTAAATCAAAACTCACACCAAAATCTAGGAATTTAATCTTCCAATTTTAAACTCATTTATTAAATTCAACAGAGACTCATAACTCATGATCTTTCATCAATTAAGAAAGCTAAAAGAAAAGAATTTTAATTAAAAAAAAAAAGCATTATCTTGCCTTATAATCTAAAGGAGTATCAAACCAAAGGAAAAAGATAATACGAGAGGAAATGAAAGAGTGAGAAAAGTTAAACGAGTTATAATTAATAATTCATATTTATACTTAACAAAAAAAAAAAATTCATATTTATAGAGTCAACATGAATTTAAGTGGAGTCAAAATTGTAAGTTTTATAAAACATAAAGATTATTTTGATTTTTTTAAAAGGTTGTATGGGTTCCATTGAACCCACATGTTTGAATGTGGTTACGTGTATATTTATCTTTTGAAAGTATTGTATAATGACTTCGTTATTAATACTATCAAATACATCTTTCTCTATATACACAACTAATCTGTTAATTCTCTATTTCGCAAACGATTCTTCTTAAAATTCAATTGATGAAAATGCTTTCGTTGCGCTAAAACAAAAATAATAAGAAAAATGGTATGATTGATAATAAGATATACAATAAAAAAGAATAAATAAAAAAAGTGATGGAATAAGCAAAGCCTTTATAAAGAAATATAATCATAAAATTGGACCCTTTGAAATGTAGAAAGAATTTAGTAGTGGTAATTGTGTTTCTAAAAACATGAAATTGAGGAAGAGCAAGAGAGTGTGGGGTCGGAATTTATACGTCAATTCAATAATTTATAAATATTGCCATCCTCATTTCCATCATCCTATAAATAAATAAACACAATATCAAATCAAAATCAAATAACAAGCGATTGTAAAGTTGAATTTGAACCGTAATGATTAAGAATTGATATCCAAATCAACAGCCAAATTAGGGGGATGAGAAATAACTAAGTGTCTTGGAAGCTTAAATGTTTTAAAATATGGATTCTAAAAATCTTTCCATCAATCTCAATCTTGTGTAAGATCTGAGTGTATGATAAACATATCCACAATCTGTCATTCAACTTATGACTTGAAAGATACTTACTACAAAAAGACAGAATATTCTTTTAATTTTGATTTATTATTTACCTTTCATATTAACACTAGCTTTATCAAATTATTATTAGTAATTTTTTTTTTAACTCGACCCTCCTTGACCCCCCCTCCCTCTATCCATGACCCCCCCTCCCTCCGTCCATGCGTATATTAATACGTAATGAGAATAATTTTCTTGTCGAAACCGTCCCAATATCATGCTTAATTAAGCTGGATTCTTATTTATAAAATATCATCTTCATCCAATAAATTAATCCATTAATATTCAAGTATAGTTTTAATATAATTATACCATAAGAGTCTTGACTTGAGAATTATTATTTGAGTANAACTAGAGATGTAAAATTCATTTATCATTTCATTTCCAAACGTTTTTATTTGGTCAAATTCAGTCTAATGATATTTGCTCAACATTTCATGTAAATTGCAGATATATATTAATTCTTTTATCAAAATATGGTATTAAGCCTTACCATGTATGGAGGGACGTAGCTAAGATTTTTAGTTAGTGGGGTCAAAAGACTCAAAACATAAATATAAACTGAACCTTCGTATCTTATAACTTAGGTTTTTTAACAATTTTTACTAACTCAATAAAATTCAACTTATAAACTCATGAAAACTGATCAAATCTAACTCTAAATATCAATCAATTAACTTATATATAAAAATTAAACCAAAGTCTTAAATCTCTATAACTTAGGGTTCTATCAATTTTTTAAATCATTCAAAATTAATTCAATAACTAACTCAAATTTATCAAACCCAACTTAAAACAACAATTAATTAACTCATACCTTAACATAACAATATTAAATCAAAACCCACACCAAAATCTAAGAATTTAATCTTCCAATCTCAAACTCATTTATTAAATTCAACAAAGACTCATAATCTTTTATCAATTAAGAAGGCTAAAAAAAAAGGATTTTAATAAAAAAAAAAATGGAGCATTATCTTCTTATAATCTAAAGGTGTATCAAACCAAAGGAAAAAAAATAATACGAGAGGAAATGAAAGAGTGAGAAAGGTTAAACAAGTTTTAATTAATAATTCATATTTATATGTAACAAAATAATAATAATTCATATTTATGGAGTCAACATGAATTTAAGTGGGATTAAAATTATAAATTTCATAAAATATAAAGATTATTTTGATTTTTTTAAAAGGTTGTATGGGTTCAATTGGACCCACATGTTTGAATGTGGTTACATGTATATTTATTTTTTTGAAAGTACTGTATAATAACTTTATTATTAATATTATCAATACATCTTTCTCTTTATAAAAAACTAAGCTATTAATTCTCTATTTCGCAAACGATTCTTCGTAAAATTCAATTGATGAAAACCCTTTCTCTGCACTAAAACAAAAATAATAAGAAAAATGGTATGATTTATAATAAGATATACAATAAGAAAGAATAAATAAAAAAAGTGATGGAATAAGCGAAGCCTGTGTAACGAAATAGAATCATAAAATTGGACCCTTTGAAATGTAGAAAGAACTTAGGAGTGGTAACAGTGTTACTAAAAACATGAAATTGAGGAAGAACAAGAGAGTGTGGGGTCGGAATTTATACGTCAATTCAATAATTCATAAATGTTGCCATCCTCATTTCCATCGTCCTATAAATAAATAAACACAATATCAAATCAAAATCAAATAACAAGCGATTCTAACGTTGAATTTGAACGGTAATGATTAAAAATTAATATCCAAATCAATAGCCAAATTAGGAGGATGAGAAATAATTAAGTGTCTTAGAAGCTTAAATGTTTTAAAATATAGATTCTGAAAATGGGACCCTGCCCCGCCTTGCCATCAATCTCAATCTTATGTAAGATTGAGTTTAGGATAAACATATCCATAACTTGCCATTCAACTTGTGACTTGAAAGATACTTACTACAAAAAGACAAAATATGCTTTCAATTTTGATTTATTATTTACCTTTCATATTAACACTAGCTTTATCAAATTGTTATTAGTAAATTTTTTTTTTTTAAACTTGACCCTCCTTGACCCCCCCTCCCTCCATCCATGCATATATTAATACCTGTCCATGCTTATATTAATACGTAATGTGAATAGTTTTCTTGTCAAAACCGTCCCAATATCATGCTTAATTAAGCTGGATTCTTATTTATAAAATATCATCTTCATCCAATAAATTAATCCATTAATATTCAAGTATAGTTTTAATATAATTATATCATAAGAGTCTTGACTTGAGAATTATTATTTGAGTAATACTGTACTTCTTACTAACATTTTCTCACAAACGTGACGTGTCAATTTACAATTGATCAACTCGTAATAGGTTCCACCTAACCAAACACGAGCTAACCAGTTGTGAATTATCACGTTACATTTGTGAGAGAAATTAGTGAAAAATGTTTGTTAATCTATCTTTATTCATAAACCAAACCGTCAAAATCCCGATGTAAAATAAGATTTGGTTCCGAGACATCTTGTACAGTATAATTATATGATCATCAAAGGGAAGTATGCAGTATCAAATCGATTACAAGAACAAACTTTACAGCAAGAAGCTAAAAATTGTTTAATCACAGATCAGAACTCAATCATAATTCTGCCATCATGAGGTAACAACTAAGAGGCGATCTCCGAAAGATAACATGTAAAGAGCGATACTGCGTCCTGCAGATGATTGGAGCGGAGATCTGCAGGAATCGGAGCACTAAAGACAGTTTCAAAGCACGTTAGCTGAGCATCTCGAGTTGGACCGTCACTGATATCTGATAGAAGCAATTCAGATATCTCCTCCGCCATCTTTGAATATGCTACTCTGCAATACACATTTGTACTGTGTTAAACTCTGGCTATTGTCTTCAACAATCCCATAATATAAATTTCATTGTCATAATTGTTGAATTCATCTTACACAAATATTCACAAGCATCTCCTCAATTTATACACGTCGAGTCTAGTTCAACGACAGTTCCTCTATTCAAGTGCACACATTTCAGTTTTAAGTGAAACATGTTTCTCTTACAAATAGAGGGCCAAGATAAAGTACGACTCAAAACCTCTTCATCCTTTCTGACAGTGATCTGTTAAGCGATCTTGCTCACTTGTGCAATTACATAACACACATTGTCTCCATGTATGCACATAGACGACTTTGACCTTTTTACCAGGGGTCTCTATACAAACTCTTTTCAGAGTGCAGAACACTACAAAGCTACCAATAAGAACTTTTAAGAGTACAAGGTTGTAATCCAACAGCGTGCCGTTAGAAGGGTCAACAGTTACGAATGAATCCCAGAAAAATGATAGACAAAAGACATACCATATTGAGTATCACCAAAACCACTGACATGGATAACTAAGAGTGTAATTTTTTTTTTTTTTTTTTCAAAAGATAACTTCGTCAAAAGCCATTTATAACAAGAAGATAAGAATTACTTGGAATCTAGGATCCATCAGCTAGACTGACAATAAAGGAAAGTAGCTTGAGGCCAAGCTAAAAAGGTTTTCTTTTAGCAAGTCAGATACTTGATTAGCAGATGACGCACAAGAAGAATATATCTTTTGAACAAACCAGAAAAGAGCAGGGGGAAAAAAAGTAAAAGCATTATTACTGTTCAGAAAAAGGATGAAATTTTTTAGATTAGAGTTATCACCAACCCTTGGATAAAACATACAAAGATTCATGCATGAGATAGTGAATTGCCAAACACCCATCTGTTACTTTACTAGATGGAAGAGTGGACACCGAAGCAGGGTAATATTTCTGTTTCAAACAAATATATTTGGGAGGTGTCTCATCGAAAATAAATCTGTTAGGTAGCGCTCAATTCACCAGATAATTTAACAGGATTTAGTGGAAGGGTTGGACATACAAAGTGTAAACAAGACAAACATTTTGTATTTACAGAAACTAAAGTCGAGATTAGCATAATTACCTTGCCTCTAAGGGTAATCTACCATCCCAAACTGCCAAAGACTCATTCAAACGATCAAGGAAGTCCTTGCAAGCAGCATTTTTGCTCTCAAGAGAATCCTACAAAAGGTAATATTTTCTTTTGAGATCAACAGTAACAGAAAAGGATAAGTAATGACTACAATTAGCATTAACCATATTCCACAAATATGGACCCATAGCCTGAGATTTCTACTCTCTATAAACAAAATTGGCATCATTGTTATTGAAGCCTATCCTATATGTTTAACATTAGCTGAAATTTCTATTACACCAGCATCAAGTCATTTCTTTTTTAGTTAATAAGCTTTAATCAATTTGTTACTGAAATTTGTGTTCACCTAGTTACATCACAGCACCTAAAGCAGTGTAGTGGCTGCTTTACTCCCTTGTGAAAGAAATATGAAACATTAGTCCACAAGTGGAAGAAAGATATAAAGTTCTGGAGAACAGCAATAGTTTAGAAATCATTATCCATTCATATCCCAATATAGACGTCCACTCCTACTTCAGAAAATTAAGCCAAGCACTGCAAACTGGTTCAGATTGAGTTCAACCTAACCAAATTATATGGCAGCTCAAATTTACAACTCATGGAAACCACAAAACAGAAGAGCCTTGAGCCAAAGGACTAATACATGTACTGATATTTAGAACATGAGATAACAAACATTCAAAAACACAGTTACATTTATGACAAATTCCCTTACCAGTTCACTCATAGTATTGTTATGTTCCTGCAACGAACTTCTTATTAAATAGAAAGAAATATAAATTCCAGCTCCCAAGTCCCAATTCTCAATCTCTGACTTATGGTTCTCCATGCATGTCACGAGCCTCCAAACCTCTGAGTGATTGCCTTCATAAACAAAAATAAATAAATGAATTACGTATGAATTAGCAAACTTATCAAACAAGCTAAAGTAGATGAATTACAGGATATGAGTTCATTTACTCATTCATTGCTCAAGTGAAAGGAAATTTCCAACTATCTATTTATCTATTTATTATTATTGCTGTTGTTACTTGTTCCTGTAGACATTATTTCTGATGGAACCTGAAGAAACTTCTATTTATGGATGAAAGAAAGTAAGCTTACCATAGTGAATTCACAGGTCTATATATTCCAGTATGCTGTATCAGCTCAACAACACCACAACATAATATGCGCGAAGACCTCATACTTTACAAAATTAACCCAAGACTCCTTCCCAATTGAAATGGATGAGGGAAAATGAGGATCGTTTAAAATTGAGGTACAAGAGAAGCATAGAAGATGATGAAAATTATTTGAGACTGGGTTTCTTAAACAATCTTATAAAACCCAAAATTAGGATACCTTTTCTTTTACCAACAAAAAGATTAGAATTATCAGCATGTGAGGGATGAAATGTTAATAGGTACTGTATTCCACATGTGCAGACTGTTGTAATCTACCAAAGCCTATGGGTTGAGAATAGTTCAGAAATCAAGCAGACAATGCTTAGTATAAGTCATAGCAAGACCATTATGAGCATCAGGCTGTCAAAAAGCCTGATTTCCAAATTGGAAGTTCAATTATCTAAATATCGAATGGTAGAAAAATTAGCAACATTTCTAGTTGTCATTTTGAATCTAACATTCTTTCAGTTCTTAAAAGGTTTCTACTGTACATATATCCTTTTCAAGAATTTCAACTCACAATCATATATTACTCAATTATCAAACGCCGATTTCTCAAAGACTAAATGCCTTACAAGAAGATTAGGTTTGGAAAAGGTTCCCTCCTTGAAATCCGTGAAACCATAACTACCTTAGTTTCATGAAAGCAATAAAACTGAAGTCAACAATACTAAATGAAATGGGAGGTTTTGAAAACTTCAAAACAAAGAGAGTGGCATGGTCAATGTTATATTAATCTTTTATGATTAATATAACATCATAAGTATTGCACAAAAACTTGATAAGAGAAAATAACAAAAGGAGACAAAATTAAAGGAGGGAAGAAGTTCACTAATTATCCCAGGCTCACTAACCACTGGCCTAACAATTCCTCCCTCTTCCTTACAACAACTCTAAATCTGGAAAATATGATGCCAATTAAAAACAATTTAAGAACTGCTACAGCACATGCGAAAACATACAACTGTTTAAATAAGTATCAAACGTTGAGTTATGCAACCAATTATAATGTTCCACATAGAAATGTTGAGACTATACACCCATAAGAACAAAAAACAAAAGATTCCAAGACCATAGAAGTGCTAAGATGAACCAAATTTAACAACTACAGTCTTCAAAATCAGATAAAATACCAAAGGAGATAAAATAAGCAGGTTCATAATAGATTTTTTTTATAGGAATGATAGAGATAATGTATTAAAAATAAAGGAGTACAAAGATGGACCAGCTGTCCACAGTAAAGACGCCATCTCCCAATGAAGGGGCCAAAAAAGAAAGAAAGAAAAAAAAAAAAAAAAAAACACAAACCACTATGCAGAAGACTCCCAAAAGTGGGAATATAATCTATTAGAAATTATCTCAAATTCAAATTTGTCAGAACCTGATAGCAGTGCATATTGGAAGTGCCTAGTACCAAGAACTCCATGAACATGTATGACACCACTAAAAACACTCAAAAACCCATTAGCATAAACTTATAATTATAACTTAGAGCTTGCTATTTAAATCTCACACTAGAAATAAGTCAAATCATTATAGCCTGCTTCATGTACATATAAGGAACAAAGTTTTTTTACTTAAAAAAAAAAAAAAAAACTCATGCGATAATATATGAAAACATATAATAAGATAAAAACTGCAAAAATTCATTAGTTATGCAAACGATAATGACAAATTACCTGACAAAAATAATGTATTGGCGACTGAAGTCACAAAAATAGAGTGAGCTTTCTGCCAATTTGCACATTCAAGAAAGTGTTCTAAGGCCTTTGAGAGGTCCCCATAGTAATTAAAATAAACCGCCTGCATTCAACAAGAAGAAATATTTCAACTAGTTGAAAAAGCAACTCGATATAGGAGCAAGAACTTCATTTAAGATTCCAAGAGTTCCTCGTGCAGAAAATTTGAGACTGGTGCAAATAATATCAGTTTGCTGCAAATTAGTAATATAATTGACTCAAAATATGGTTAGGTTTGGCCAAGACAAAGAGGTGAATCAGAAGCTTTGATATATGTTAAGTCAAAGCAAAACCAAAGGCACATATGCTAGAATCAGTGTCATACCATAGCTTCATGCAGCCACTCCAATGGAACACCCAAATCCTCAATAAATTGGCGTTGTGATTCTTGTGAGCTCCAGGATTCACAGTATTGGAACAAGATTTCCCGAATAAGGGTAGCCTGCAGATATGGATAATCATCACGGTGGGGCATGTGAAGGACCACATAGATGGCCCAATGACACTGCCCCTGACACAGAAGCTGAGAAATAAGTCCCATGTCAAGGCTTTGAAGATCATTAGAACTGAAAGCACCGACTGCTTCTAACACTGCACGTTGATGCCAGATCATATGGTAGTCTAGTGGATCATGCGTTGAAGAGAAGGCACTAAACATTGTCTTCAAAAAGCCAAATTTGCTCTCACCACTGGCATGAAGAAGCATAAGATAATATGAGAGGTCAAAGTGTTCCTTTGTAACCCAATCAATAGGCTCATCTATGGGTCCCTCATCAACATATATTGGAACAGGAGGTGGAGCATTTCCATCTTCAAGAAGGTGCTGATAAGTTTGAAAAACAACAGGCAATGAAGTGTCAGGTGGCAGTTGATACCACATCAATAACCCTAGGAACCTCTTCCAATCAATTGTAACATCTTGTAACGAGCCATGAATATTGCCAGCAAGCAACTCATAAAGCCTAATTCTATCTTTCTCAATGAAATTGAAGTCCATCCCATTGAGTCTCCAAAGATCAAGCTGACGTGCAATATCAGAACGGCTCACCATGGACCCACCAGCCTGACTTAACAGACAAGCCAGTCTCACGTCTCCTCTAGAAGCAGCCAGTTCCACAGATGAATCTAGCTGTCGCCCTGTCAGGAGTAAAAAAATGTGTTTTAGATAATTTGACTCATCCAAGGAGCTTACTTCCTCTTGTACCCGGTGGCAAACACTCTCTTGCAACCAACAACTGAACTCTGCCCTTCGAATAAGAGTGAGTGCTTCTGTGTCAACATCTGGAGGACCTTCCTTCATATCCTGCATCATGTCTTCCTCATTGTCAGCAGCCACAGACTTTGATTGCCCACTATTTTCCCTTTCTGAAAATAAAACTTTTATCAATTCCCAGACCATTACTTGGTGCATCAAAACCAAACGAGCAGAAGAAGATATCCCAGGAACATCCAGCTCTGCCTCAATAATGTCTATGTAGCTCCGACAAATTTCTGAAAGCACTAAACGATTTGACACAACCTTTTGAAGCTTCAACTTGAAGGAACCGACTTCAACTTCTTTTACTTCGTGATTCAACTCCTTGTGGAGATTCAATGGAGCATCAAAGGAAAATTCAACCAGCTCCTTTCTCACTTTGTTATTTTCATCTCTAACCACTTTGTCAATCGCAACCTTCTCCACATTGATTATAGAAGATAATACCCCCTGTGAGTTACTAGTACCAACTGGAGCACCAGTGTGAACAAGGATGCCATTTGGGCCCCATCCTACACGAAATGATCTACCCATGAACAAACCTGCATCAACAATGTTGCGAAAGTGGGTTCCAGTTACCGGTGTCTCATGCTTGAGATCCAGCTTAAACCCATCTGCTTTTATTTTCTTTACAGGCAAGCCCTTATTTTGTTGTGCCATGAGAATTCCAGGGGAGTCTGTATCAAAACTACAAGGGTGGTATTCCAGCAAAGCTAGTGGAGTTTTTCGCGCAACAGGTGGACTAGATCTGTGGCTCATCTTCTGGGAGGTATTCTGCAAAGGAGATCTTATGTATTCTTTAACAAGGGATGGTTTCTGCTGCAAAGGCATCCCATTGAAATCATCAATCTCCTCTTCTTGAAACATCAACATTCTCATTTCTTTCACCTTTATCGGGTCAAGCCCAAGATGTGCAGGAAGAGAATGAGAAAGCTCAAGTCCCATAGAATCCATTTGGGTTTCTTCATCAACATCATATAACTCACCATTAATCTCCTCGGAATCTTGACCTGGTGTTGCATCATCTAATACAATATCTTCTTCCTCATCTTCACCCAACCCAAATCTGCTAAAATGGTTGACCAAGAATCTCCATTCACCATTGATAGGGTCAAATGAAATGAACTGAGCTCCTTGTCTCTCGGTACTCTCCTTCAATTTCTTCACAACATCATTTAAATGCCTGTCTTTTGAACTTAACTTTCTTACTTGTAGCATCAAAGTCACTTCAGCTGCTTTGTTTAGACCCTGACCAACCGTAGGCTTTGAATTTTCATCTTCATACACAACTAACTCATGCCTATGGAACTTTACAATTTGTTCTAAATCTAACCGTCTAACATCAGTGTTCCCAAGAAACTTTACATATCCATAACCATACCGTCCAACTGTGAAATCAGGAACCTGGCTAGAATAACCTGGATCTGTGACTTCACATCTAACCAAATCCTCCAAGCAAGGTTCCATGTAATAATCAGGAGAACGTAAAGTAGGTAAAACATCTCCAATCTCTCTGAAAATCTCACATGATGAAAGATCAGTGTTTGGCAAGATTTTTCTTTTCTTGTATTCAGATGCATTATAGGAAGTTCCAGCATCAAAGTCCATCATATGAATATTATCCAATGAGTTATTTTTTCTTGCAGTATGAAGTTCACAGAAATCACCTGAACGCATAAAATACAATAAATATAACTAGCATAGAAAAACTTTTTCCAATGTTTTAATTGAGAAAAAAAAAAAAAAATCCTAGCTAAACAACATTATATACAGTATATATTATTACAGTTATCATGAACTTCACAAAAGAGATTAAAATGAAGTAAAAAGATAAAATAAATATAGCCCTATGTGTATCTTTCACCATTCTGAATAGGAAAAGAGAAAACTACACTAAGAAAATGAATCCAAGTTATATATACATTGTTAAATAACGATCTCATCTTTCAAATATCAAGATGCTGTATTAAACAGTTTCACGAAATAAATTAAAATAATTATGCAAAACAATAAACCCTAGAAATCTAACAAGACCACTATAAAAGCATGGACTTAATAGCAAACATGCCAAACCCTAACCCCAACTTTGGCAGCTAAGAAATTAACAGTAAAAAAAAAAAAGAGAAATTAACTCCACATTTTGTTCGGCTTCAAGATAATTTCAATTCGCATCATTCGGCTACACATTTAATGTTAAAATTTAAAACAACAGCAACGCGAATTGTTTGAAAATTTAAAATTTATGATCACTATCACGTTAACTTCTTAAAATAACTTCGAAGTGAAAATTCAAGGTAGAAGTAGAGTTTCAAGGATTACCGGCGACCGGAAGCAGAGAAGAAGAAGCCATGATCGTCGAAGAAGAAGAAGAAGAAGAAGAAGAAGCAGAGGTGAGGAAGTTGGGGAGAGAGGGGCTATGGTTTTTTTATTAAAGTTGCTTTCCCGGTTCCCGGTAGTTCCGGTTTACGGGTGAAGTGAAATGAGGATCTTGTGAGCTTCGGAAGCTGGAGTATGAGAGAGCATTTTGCAGCGGCGAGTGAACTGAGCGAGGGAAAGTTGCGATTTATTTTGACACTGGGCCTGGGCTTTTTGGCAAAACTTGGGCTTAACTGATTGTCCTCACAGTTTTGGCAAATGACTTTTTAGCCTGGCCCGGCCCCCCCCGCCCAAAAAAACAAAAAGAAGACTTTTAGCCTTCATTTAATTGATCAGGATCCCTCATTTTAAATACGCCTCTCCTATAATAATAATAATAATAATAATAATAATAATAATAAAACCTTCTTTTAACCCATTTAATAGTGAAAATAGCCATTTAAGCTTAATTAGGTTTATTTTCTGATATAATTGCTTTAACCCCTTGAGGTATAGAAGCCCATCTCATTTAATACTGAAAATCTGTGTTGGGCCCTCATTAGGGCCAACCGCAGTTGGCTCCACATCAAGGCCCATCAGCAGTCAACACTACGCCCAGACCTAACCTGGTTGGTTCCTCATCAAAGCCGATCCAGTAGCAGATCCATTCTACGACTTGAGCGATCCTACAAATCAACAATGCAATGTTTTCACTAAGATTAGGGACGTAGAACTGGCACTCAGCCCTAAACAAGACTCCAAGTCTCGTGGGAGCCTAAACCTCCCCAGCCTTTTATAAATAACAACGTCGACCCTGTCAGAGCGGGAGTCATAGCATACTCTTGACCTTACTATTTATTATGCCATTCACTCCTCATATTCTCATTCTTGCACTCTCGTCCAACCGTCGTTTCACACCGTAGAGCCGAGTTTCAACCACCCTACAACAGTTGTCATGCCACAACTCCACGGTCATGGTAATTTCTATCCACTCTATCTTGTTCATTGCCTATTTTCTTTTTTTAACCATGCTAACTTAAGCGTCGAAGTGCCTACGGCCGACACCACACCGGTGTCAAGGACTTTGCATTCATCCTCCATTTCTATGTCTTTGCTTAAAGGTCTAGGAGGTTGTCAGAGGCCACATCCTCGCAAGGATCAATTGTAGATTCCGACCGTCTATAGAGACCATAACCCTTAAGTCGCCAGTCTCCATGCTTCAACAACTTCCACTTTCCATGCACAAACATCCTCTATCCCTACCATTTTCGTATCACCAATACCATAATCACCTCACAACCTCCATCCCGACCATTTTCACACCACTACTACCATACTCAAAGAAGTAGCTAGGATTTCTAGTTAGTGGGGTCTAAAGGTCTAAGCTGATAAATTTACAATAAAATATATACTGAAGTAATAAGCATAAAAAAATGTAATCTAAAAATTTAATTTTAAAAGTTATACATTCATAAAAATGATAAAAACAACCTAGGACAACATAGCTCATGATCTTTTATTAATTAAAAAAGATAGAAGAAGAGATTTTTAAGCAAAATAACAAAAAATGAGCATTATCTTACCCTGTGACCTTCAAAAGAGTCCAAAGGAGTAGTCTTTCTTGATTAATCCAACCAAAGAAATAAGAAAGTATGAGAGAAAAGGAGAGGAACCGAGGAAAAGAAAAAACGTGAAAAACATATGGGGTATTTTCGAATCTCGGGATCAATAAAATATAGAAATATCTTAATGGGGTCAATAAAATATAGATAATTGGAACGTAAAGTAGGTAAAACATCTCCAATCTCTCTGAAAATCTCACATGATGAAAGATCAGTGTTTGGCAAGATTTTTCTTTTCTTGTATTCAGATGCATTATAGGAAGTTCCAGCATCAAAGTCCATCATATGAATATTATCCAATGAGTTATTTTTTCTTGCAGTATGAAGTTCACAGAAATCCCCTGAAAGCATAAAATACAACATAAATATAACTAGCATAGAAAAACTTTTTCCAATGTTTTAATTGAGAAAAAAAAAAAAAAAATCCTAGCTAAACAACATTATATACAGTATATATTATTACAGTTATCATGAACTTCACAAAAGAGATTAAAATGAAGTAAAAAGATAAAATAAATATAGCCCTATGTGTATCTTTCACCATTCTGAATAGGAAAAGAGAAAACTACACTAAGAAAATGAATCCAAGTTATATATACATTGTTAAATAACGATCTCATCTTTCAAATATCAAGATGCTGTATTAAACAGTTTCACGAAATAAATTAAAATAATTATGCAAAACAATAAACCCTAGAAATCTAACAAGACCACTATAAAAGCATGGACTTAATAGCAAACATGCCAAACCCTAACCCCAACTTTGGCAGCTAAGAAATTAACAGTAAAAAAAAAAAAGAGAAATTAACTCCACATTTTGTTCGGCTTCAAGATAATTTCAATTCGCATCATTCGGCTACACATTTAATGTTAAAATTTAAAACAACAGCAACGCGAATTGTTTGAAAATTTAAAATTTATGATCACTATCACGTTAACTTCTTAAAATAACTTCGAAGTGAAAATTCAAGGTAGAAGTAGAGTTTCAAGGATTACCGGCGACCGGAAGCAGAGAAGAAGAAGCCATGATCGTCGAAGAAGAAGAAGAAGAAGAAGAAGAAGCAGAGGTGAGGAAGTTGGGGAGAGAGGGGCTATGGTTTTTTTATTAAAGTTGCTTTCCCGGTTCCCGGTAGTTCCGGTTTACGGGTGAAGTGAAATGAGGATCTTGTGAGCTTCGGAAGCTGGAGTATGAGAGAGCATTTTGCAGCGGCGAGTGAACTGAGCGAGGGAAAGTTGCGATTTATTTTGACACTGGGCCTGGGCTTTTTGGCAAAACTTGGGCTTAACTGATTGTCCTCACAGTTTTGGCAAATGACTTTTTAGCCTGGCCCGGCCCCCCCCGCCCAAAAAAACAAAAAGAAGACTTTTAGCCTTCATTTAATTGATCAGGATCCCTCATTTTAAATACGCCTCTCCTATAATAATAATAATAATAATAATAATAATAATAATAAAACCTTCTTTTAACCCATTTAATAGTGAAAATAGCCATTTAAGCTTAATTAGGTTTATTTTCTGATATAATTGCTTTAACCCCTTGAGGTATAGAAGCCCATCTCATTTAATACTGAAAATCTGTGTTGGGCCCTCATTAGGGCCAACCGCAGTTGGCTCCACATCAAGGCCCATCAACAATCAACACTATGCCCAGACCCAACTTGGTTGGTTCCTCATCAAAGCCGATCCAGTAGCACATCCATTCTACGACTTGAGCGATCCTACAAATCAACAATGCAATGTTTTCACTAAGATTAGGGACGTAGAACTGGCACTCAGCCCTAAACAAGACTCCAAGTCTCGTGGGAGCCTAAACCTCCCCAGCCTCTTATAAATAACAACGTCGACCCTGTCAGAGCGGGAGTCATAGCATACTCTTGACCTTACTATTTATTATGCCATTCACTCCTCATATTCTCATTCTTGCACTCTCGTCCAACCGTCGTTTCACACCGTAGAGCCGAGTTTCAACCACCCTACAACAGTTGTCATGCCACAACTCCACGGTCATGGTAATTTCTATCCACTCTATCTTGTTCATTGCCTATTTTCTTTTTTTAACCATGCTAACTTAAGCGTCGAAGTGCCTACGGCCGACACCACACCGGTGTCAAGGACTTTGCATTCATCCTCCCTTTCTATGTCTTTGCCTGTAGGTCTAGTAGGTTGTCAGAGGCCACATCCTCGCAAGGATCAATTGTAGATTTCGACTGTCTATAGAGACCATAACCCTTAAGCCGCCATTCTCCATGCTCCAACAACTTCCACTTTCCATGCACAAACATCCTCCATCCCTACCATTTTCGTATCACCAATACCATAATCACCTCACAACCTCCATCCCGACCATTTTCACACCACTACTACCATACTCAAAGAAGTAGCTAGGATTTCTAGTTAGTGGGGTCTAAAGGTCTAAGCTGATAAATTTACAATAAAATATATACTGAAGTAATAAGCATAAAAAAATGTAATCTAAAAATTTAATTTTAAAAGTTATACATTCATAAAAATGATAAAAACAACCTAGGACAACATAGCTCATGATCTTTTATTAATTAAAAAAGATAGAAGAAGAGATTTTTAAGCAAAATAACAAAAAATGAGCATTATCTTACCCTGTGACCTTCAAAAGAGTCCAAAGAAGTAGTCTTTCTTGATTAATCCAACCAAAGAAAGAAGAAAGTATGAGAGAAAAGGAGAGGAATTGAGGAAGAGAAAAAACGTGAAAAACATATGGGGTATTTTCGAATCTCGGGATCAATAAAATATAGAAATATCTTAATGGGGTCAATAAAATATAGATAATTCTAGTGGGGTCAAAATTGTTAATTATTATAAAATAGATACCTATTTTTAATAATTTCAAAATTTTAGTGGGGTTAAGCGACCCCACTGGGTATACTTTGGCGTTGGGGCCAAGAGGCCATGACGTTATTGATGTGGTGGTTGTGATGGAGATGCAAGAGGGTGCGACATGGTGTCTAATTAGGTGTAACATGGTGTAAAACCTCTCCCCAGTCAGGTATCCTCTGAATATCCCTAAATGAGAATATAGAGAATTCATGTCTATGAAATGAGTTGTATTTAGAAAACCTGTGCAATAATAATAATAATGTTCGAAACATTACTATAAGATGTACTATAGGATAAAAATTTGTACCTTCAAAAATAAAAATAAAAACAAAAACTTAAATTCATTTGGGCATCAATCAATCAAAACATATTAATGCCATTTTCATTCATATGGTGGAAGCTTCAAAAAGGTGTTTAAAAAACATTTGTCATTTACATTATTTACATCAAGATAAAATGTCAGGATGACAATAGATTATCTCCACTCACGCATAGCCTTGCTGTCTCCAACATCCCTCGATTCTGGATTTCCTGTAAAACATTCAACCATGAAAGGGTGAGCACTAATTACTCAGTAAGGAATGATCCATTTAATACCAAGTATGTCATTTGACATTCATTCAAACACATTCATTCACATACCACACGTCTTTTGCATCTAAGTATGGTTCCTTTTCTTTACTAACTCATAT